TATCGTCTTAGGGCAAAAAAGTGCTATTTTACGCCTGCCAAGTCGGGCGATAAAGTTCAATATTATGAAAATAAGAAGATTCATTGTTGATGCAATACATAAATGTTATTTAGTTGGTCTACTTGATAGTAACAGTATCTATAATGTTTGTGTCTATATGCCCAGTAGGGATAGTAGTTTATCAGGATCCTGCTCTCGTATGATCGAAGAGTATATATAGGTTGGCATCAAGATACTATCATAACTGCTTGCAGTTCAGCGGAAAGTGATTCCATTTCGTGAGGATGTCAGTTAAATATATATTTAATGTTCATTTTATTTTTGTGATTTAGGCTGAAAGACTCCGGTCAATAGCTTCATCATGAACAATCATGAATTGACAAGTTCGATGTATTTACTTTCACAATTAAAAGTCTTACACAGGTTTCGGGACCGAATCTGCTCCCGTTTTCAACATAAAAAATGGTTATATCAATAGCAAAGTCGTATCTGTCTTGAAACTTCCCGAACGTTCAAAGATAAGTGGAAATTTGATATTTTTTCTATATACCTTCATTTCTCTTCTCCAAACTTTTTTCAATACAAATTGTCACTGACAAGCTAGTGAATTTTTCTTTTAGACTCTCTGATAGGAAAATTCTTTAAACGCAGTGACATTTTGGGGCAAATCATCTGATTTGTCCTTACTACACGTATATTGAAATAATATTCATATTTTTATTTTATATAAAAGAGGAGAGAAAATCCCAAAAAATTTGGAATAATGAATGTACCACCTTCTCGATTAACCTACAGACAGTATTTTCCTTATTTTTGTTCGTTTACTGAACTATATTGAATTTTTCCGATTACAATCTGAAACACTCTGTATACGACTTGCTAGTTTCCATACCACTCATGCTGTCAGTTTCAAATTAAATTTGATTCCCTACTTATAAACATAGCATAATTTGCTTCAAAATCAATAATTGGCTTGTGTATTGACAAGGTCTAATTAAACTTTACAAATCAATAGATATCACAGAGTTTCGTTGAATTAATCAATAATCAAGTTTTGAATACAGAGTGTTGCGAAATACGATCGACAACGCTTCACAGGTGGCCCCTATGATTTATTAAAGAATTTGATACATAGGTAACTTTTTGAAATACACGGTGCTGAAGTTGGAAAATGAAAATAGTTTTTCAGAAATAAATGGAAAACAGCTGAATTTCTCTCAATCGATTTTGGTACATAATTTTATATTTTCACAATAAGGAATACGCATGATTTTTTGTTTAATCGAAATTATATTCCTTCTTCCTTATAATAACATTGGATATCATTCATTAATCTCAAATTTGCTTGTGACAATAAAAAATTTCATTTAAATGAGGCTAAATATGAAGTCACAGGAAAACGGGTTAGTGGCCATCACTAATATTATGACGTCATAGTATTAGGCCGCACAGCCATAGACTAGCGCGACAGAATGACAAGATTCAGATTGAAAAAATAAAGAAGAAGAAGAGGTAGGAGAAGAAAACAGTTTTAAACGCCAGAGGAATTTGAAATTTGAAAATGGAAAATGATAATGTTTATACCAAATACTGTTTAGTGCCGCAATGCCTTTCATCAACAAAAGTATCACCAGGAAAAATATTCCTTTCATTGCCAGTGGGATCGAGTGATAAAAATAAAGAGAAAAGAAAATTATGGTTGCAAGCCATAAATAGAAATGATTTATCCGAGAAAACCAGACGATTTGTTTGTGAAGACCATTTCGAAGTGAGTATACGTTCAAGTATGTCCTAGTGAAACCCATTATATATCAATGATTATGTTCCTCATGTTATTAGGAGAATAATACAATATGTGATTTCGTTTTCAGCTTGAAGAAGATATGGAAAACTATATGAGATATAAATTGATAGGTGGTAATATATATTTGAAACAACATGCAAAATGAAGTCATGTTTGATCATTTTTATTGTAGATATTTGTTTATTATCCAGTTATTATTATTCAGAATATTGAGATCATATGATTGAGATAGATTATAGAAACTACAAGCTCAGATAATCATAACCTCACTTTCTCTTCTTCTTATATTATTTTCAATCTTTCGGACATGAATGTTTGACATGACGAATAAAAACAGCCACATCCAGTCGGAAATCATCGCTGCAGTTCGGCAGTTGGTCGGAAAGTTGCAAATATTATGATTTTCAATCAGAAATTATTAAATATTCGGTGCTTAATAATGTTTTTCGGATGTATAATTCGACATCTATACATATGAGTAATGGAACAAAAATATATTCCAGTGTAAAATTTTCACACGCGTATACCCTATTCTCAATGTTTGACGATAAAGTATCTTTCATCCATGCAGTGTGACGCGCCACATAGAGTCGTTGTAACATTTCCTCCTACTGATGAAATTTTCCAAATTCCCTGTCAAATTCTGTCTTGTCTAAAATAATTTTTTTTCGAGAAATTAAATCTTTGACCAAACATTGAGTTTTGCAAAGTAATTTTCAAACATCATCTTTAATAATATAAATTCGCAGAAATGTTTGTGGGAAACACTATTTATCACAAAGCTCGTTCGACATATTGAATCCGCCATCTTGAATTTTCAAAATTTGATGAAATAATCATGATCTCCGAACTCGAAAACCCCCAGATACCAATTTTGAACAGAATATCGGATCATGATTACAAAAGTCGTCCGCGATGTTGGATAGACTATATACACACTACATTGAAAACTTGTAACGTATAATTGAAAACCTTGATTGACACGTATCAGCTTCTGATCATATTCTACGATATAAGATGATAATTTTATATGACAAGAAGTGATGGTAACATTGAATATTTGTTCATGATATATATCTATCCAATCTAAATGAACAAACATCACAGCCCACTTGATTCACATGCACTGTAAACGATAGTTCATAGTTTTGTGGAATTTAAATATGGACCTATTGTCACTATGAAAGCACTTCTTTCCAATTCTAATTAACATCTAGTAGCCATACCATGGCAGCATATGATATATGAATACCTACTAGATTCGAGTTCCTTTCCTGCGAATCTCGCATCAGAACAGCGGATTCGCATAATTATAACAGAAGTGGCTATGTCTTTATGAACTAGTAGTTCATAAAATGACGAAAACTACCTTGGTGGAGAGAACACACTTCACGCCGTGAAAAATAAAAAAAAGAGTAAATAATGGTATATAGGTTCAATAGCTAGTGGTGGAAAAACTTCTATCCTATCCTATCCTATTACTGATAAACCAGATAAGGTTTCGAGCCAGTACACAACTTTATTATTTCTCTACTTTGTTGTGAAATGATCCTTTATTTTAATATTTGATTATGCGTATATCTGTTACATTTTGTGCTGGTCTACTGGCTTTCAAATCCTATATATGCCGGTAATTTTCTTCCAGATCTAATATAAAACAAGAACTATCAAAACGATGTAATGAAATGAGATGACTTGTTGCACGCTTGGATATTTCGAGGGCGAATGTCCGAATTATCCGAGGTGATACCATGAATGCTCAGCTCACAACATAATCGATACTAGTTTTGTCAAAAATCAACGAGATAAAATTAATATGTTTAGTAACAAAGTCAAAAATCTCAAAGGAATTTAATTAAGAAAGTTTTGTATGAGCACCTTATTAGATATAGTATTGATCATTCTAGAACACGTGATTTTGACATGGTTTCTTGAGGGGCACACAAACTATCTGTTAGAGGTTACCTTTGATGAGCATAGTCCTGGCCATCCCTGCCACATCTACAATATAATAACAGTTTCACCAAACACAATTATGGAATTCTTTCTAGTTCCAACTCGGATTCCTAGGAAAACGATCCCACTTATTCTGGTTTTATATGACATATCTTGACAAAATACAATGTTTGCCCCTCAGCAACCTGTCAAATGACGTAATTCTGGAATGATTTTAAGATATTTCACAAGTCGAACGGTATGAAGGTAATAGTTGTAGCGAGTGGAGTTTACTGAAATGTCGATTCACGGTCTTATATCTCGATAACCGAGATAACCTACAAACTATACCGCTAATGCAGGAATACTAAAGCTCATATATATTTGAGATCGAACTGGATCATGCTTCTAGGACCTGTCATATTTTATTTTATTCACTCTTAAACCGAGTTTATTGCTGGGCGATTTTGGTTTTGGGGATGATAGCGAATTGGTTACCTTCCATTGAGCAATAATAAAATCACACGTTTCATCGCTAGTATCGCCAAAGCCAATACCGTTCCAGCCTCACTCATGTTTCCAAAAACTATGTGATATGAGTCGATGTCATGAATGACAGTTGTGATTCTTATTCGCGGTAGCCAAGGTTATCATCTGAAATTGCGATAGCATAAAAACTACTGGGAAACATGTATATAACTTTTAATCTAAGCCAGGAATTTTCCCGTAGTTTTCATGTCATCGCAACGTTAGATTGGATGATATTTTCAAATTGTTGGGATTTGCCATATAGCGATCTAGAAAGTAGATATGTCGGTGTGAATTACCAATCGTACATATACTATATCATGAGATAACTGAGGATGAGCATTCGAAATAGCGAATTAAGGGCAGGTTGCATGAAGCTCTCTGTTAACTTAACGAGGAATCAATTTTTCTAACTCATCTTAGGACATATGTTGCCATGGATAATGAACTAAATTCTGTCTGTAGGTTAACCGATGCATACATGCATACATCAATTTTTCTAGATTATTTGAGATTTTCTCTTTTTCTTTATATAAAATATAAATATGAGTATTATTTCAATACCCTTGTAGTAAAGACAAATGATGATTTGCCCTAAAATGTCACTTCGTTTAAAAATGTTTCTATCAAAGAGCCTACAAGAAAAATTCAATCGTTTGTCCGTGACAACTTAGTTTTTAAAGACTGTTTAAAGAAGACAATCTGAAAGAATGATATTTTCCATGATATATGTTGAAAACGCGTTTTGGGGCAAATCATATGATTTGTCCTTACTACATGTATATTAAAATAATTCTCATATTTTTATTTCGAAGAAACATGGAGAGAAAATCCCAAATGAATTCCTTTGAACTGATATTACTTGACAACGACGATAATTTAAAACAAGAAACCATTATTTAGTCTGATTACAAATGGGGATTCAGATACTGAAATATCAAGAATACTTTCTTCAAAAAATGCAAATATTGTGTCCTACTTTCATGGCCCTATATGTAACCACTGCCCACGATATGCGTAACAGTGAACAGTTTTTAATTCAAGAATAATATTAGAGAGAACTTTTCCGTTCGATAATCTAGTACAAAAAAATATCCTAATTTAATGGGACACCAGTAAAATGAACATTCAGATAAATACTGAAATGTGTAGGTAAATAAGTGTCTTGTACATTGATAGTTTGGAGTGAATATTGGAGCCTCGGAGCAAGGCTTTATCCATTTATGTACACCTCTGGAATAGACATCTTATCTTGGACATATAATCACCTTAGTATAGGAAGAAATTCATTTATTCTCTATCAATACTTGCAGCTGAAGTACCAGGTCTCTAGCTAGTTTGAGCACTGATTGTGCATTGTGTCTCTCTGCCATTTCTGTAATGTAAAGAATTCAAAAGTTATCAATTCGCTCTTATCATCCTCATATAATGCAACGAATTTCTGTTCTCCCGATCTTTTCAAAAATTTTAGAAATAATTATAAATAACCGTCTAATAAATTATCTTGAAAATAATGGCCTATTGTTTAGTGAACAATATGGATTTCGTAGGTCAGAAGACACAGAGGTAGCTGTGATGGATGTCATTTCAGATATTCAGTTACGAATAGATGACAATGACAAATGCGGCATTCTGTCTCTGGATCTCTGTAAGGCCTTTGACACTGTAAATCATAATATTTTATTGACTAAATTACCATCAATAGGTGTCAGAGGCAAAATTCATGATTGGTTCCAAAATTATTTGAAGAATAGGAAACAGTATGTTGATGTAAATAATACTTGTAGTTCCTTGATGAATATTACATGTGGTGTACCGCAAGGATCAGTTTTGGGGCCAATTTTATTTTTAATCTATATCAACTCAATATCTACTTTAAAATTGAAAGGAAAACTAAATTTATTTGCAGATGATACAACAATAATTTATACTTCAAGAGATTTCAACGATATCAATAATGATATTAAAAATGATTTGAAACAAATATCATCTTGGCTAGTGACCAATAAGTTGACTCTTAATTATAGTAAATCTACGTATATGTACATCTCAAAAAGAACAACGGATATATTGAATAATACCCCAATATGTTTCAATAACAAATCCATTGAATATAAAAATGTAACAAAATTTTTAGGTCTATATATAGATGAACAACTATCGTGGACTCTACATATAGAGAAAAAAATTTAATCCTATTGCTGGTATTATATATAAAATTCGAAATTTCATTCCTGTTAAATACCTAAAGAGTATTTATTTCTGTCTTTTTTATTCAAATATACAATATCTAATATCTATTTGGGGAAGTACAAATATTTCACGTTTGAAGCCACTCATGAAATTACAAAATAAAACAATAAAGTGCATTTTCAATTTACCTTTTTTAGAATCAACTGCGAATCTATACAAACCTAAAGACTTGCTGAATCTAGTGTCATTATATAAACTCAAAATTTGTTGTTTTATTCATTTTGTCAGGAAGGAATTGAAAATATCGAATTTGAATTTTAATGAAGTTAATACGATTCACGCCCATGAAACAAGGCAATTCAATTTATTGATAGCAGATAATTATAAGTCAAATTTTGGTAAACAATCAATATTCCATAATGGAATAATTTTGTATAACTCCTTACCTAATGAGTTGAAAAATATAGAAGAAGCAGAAAAATTTGAAATGAAATTAAAGAAATATCTGCTCAGTAAACTTTAATAGTACTAATCATTCACAATTTGATTACTTGTAATGGATTATGATATTTTCATTTTATATTTTATTATAATTCTTTTTTTAGGAAAAACAATAATTGTGCAATTATTATTGTTTCGATTTATTATGTTTTATATGTATGTTTTGTTGTATATATCCCTATTATAAACAATAATGTTTCTTGGGGTAATAAAAACAATCAATGAATCAATATATTATTAAATAATTTTATTTACACTATCTACAGGATAGCCGAATTGGGCACTTCAAGGGGGAAAGCCAAATTTTCACATTAGGTGTTACAAATCACTCAGTATAATTACCTTTTGATATCGAGAGCCATGCAAGCTGCTATGTCAAGGGGATGGATGACATAGTTTTATTAATTAATTTAATTTCGTGTAATCTAAACTTAATAGTTTGACCTAGAGAAGATACTGTGAGATATCAATAATTTTCTATCATCAGGGTCAATTTTTATGACAAAATGAATAGTGAAAATCATTATCTGTAGTTACCGTTTTTCTTGAATAAGTACTTTGTTTTCATGTAACATTTCCAAAGCATTGAGTCTCTCATACAAATTGATCATCAGGTAATGAAATCAGTCTTCATTTATGGAATTTGAAACTAGAGCTTTTTCCTTTGAAGTATCCAATTTGGTCTCTACCCTGTTCAAACCTCCGAGGGAGACCAAAAACCGTGAGCTAAAATCTAATATTTTTCTATGAAATAGATTATATTACATTCAATGAATACAGCATTTTTACCATTTGAAGTTAATGACTCTCTTAAATTCTAGATTCTAATGCTGAAACTTTGAACTATCTAAATCCGAGGATTGGAGAAAACGACAGGTTAAATTTGATCTATATTCACCTCACCCTAATCCCCTTTCAGTGTTCGGCACTATCTTCCAAACACCTTCAATATACATTTTGCCCCAGTAAATTTTACTAACTAATATTTTTTGTTAAATGATGGGCTGATTATTGTGCTTACCATTGAAAAATTTGATGATATCAGTAAAATCCATGCCATTTGTTAAAATTATATCCCTGTAACTTTCCAATAGTGCCAAGGCCAAAAACAGTACGAAATGACTGGACGCAACTTGTTGTGCAGCCCATATGATTTCCCATGTAGCAAAAACATCTGGATACACCAGTTCCCTCTTGAAGTCCAACAGGAACCACCTGAAAAAATTAATTTGCCATCAGTGATTATTCAATTTCATTTATTCAATCATCAAGATGCAATTTTGCATATTTTTATTGCCACCATGAAATATTGCTGATAATTTTGAGTTGCATTTGAGTAAGACTAAAACGAGCTTAGCATTGGAAAATATTGTATATCTTAGTCGGAACATTCAGAAGGTAGAGTACATAAAGGAGGGCAGAATTTTTCACTTCAGGAATAGATTTTTTAGTCGATAGGGTGTAAACATCTTCAAAGTCCCCCGACTCTAGGAGGTGAGCTAAGTGTTGTTGTTTTTTTCTTTTTCGACCATTCATTGATTAGACTACACCTTTCCCAGTTGTATTTGCAATAAAATTGAAAAAGACATTACTAAATGAATTGATTGATTGATTGTCTTTATTACCCCAGAGACATTTCTGTTTATGATAGGGATACATGAATACATATAAAAAAATAATAATAAAGGGTTAACTAATGAATTCCACTCAGTGGAAACGAATTAATATTGTTTCTTAAGATTAAAGTTATATTTCATTCCTAAGTAATCAAATCACGCCACATATTTTTCATTCAAATTGTCCTGAGCAAGTATTTTTTAAGATTGATTTTAAACCTTCTTGCATCATGTATATTTTTCAACTCATTTGGTAATGAATTGTATAAAATTATTCCATTGTGAAAAACAGATTGTTTGCCAATGTTTGACTTGAATGTATTTGCTATCAAGTAATTCAATTGTCTAGTCCCATAATTATGGACTGTATAGACTTCATTGAAAGCTAAATTTGATATTTTCAATTTATTCCTGGCAAAATGAATAAAGCAACATATTTTAAGTTTATATAATGAAATCAGGTTCAGAAAATGTCTTGGTTTGTATAAATTTATCGTTGGTTCTAGAAAATGTAGATGAAAAATGCACTTAATTGATTTGTGTATCTAGAATAAAACGACAACAAAAATGTTCACGTTAATACGATGAAATCAAACTTCATTACCCATTTTCTTTACCTTCTGAGCCAAAATACATACTTCTGTGAGCATGTAGACATTGACATAGTTAGAACCTCACCAAACATTTTATAAAGAAAGTCGCACACACAGTATCTTTGAATAGTTTAGGTTATCTTTTAGATCAAATCGTCCAAATGGACACTCTTTTTGTTTTGCATCTACAGAGGAAAGACTCATTTTTATAACTGTATTTACTACATGTAACTATTGCTGAATATAATTTCAAATTTAATTTCAGAAAGAGACAAGAAAGATCACTTGTATTTCAGAAAAAATCATTGTATTTCAGAATAATCGATTGAATTTCAGAAAGCGTCAATAGAATTTGAGAATAGTCAATTGTATTTTGGGAAGCGTCAATTGTATTTCAATTGAATATTCTGAAATACAATTGACGCTTTTTGAAATAAAATTGACGCTTTCTAAAATAAAATAGACGCTTTCTGAAAATCAATTTTCTATTCTGAAATACGATTGATGCTTTCTGAAATACAAGTGACTATTCTGAAATTCAATTGACTATTCTGATAGCATTTTTTGTTGATCTCAAAAAAAGCTCTCGATACAGTCAAAACACTTTTGGAAAATTCAAAATCAATCAGACTCAAAGGCACGATAAGGAACCTTTTAGGTTCGTATATTCAAAATAGGACAATCAGTACCAAATATACTAACTCAGAGTCTCATAGACTACCGATGACTAAAGGTGTCCCTCAAGGATCTGTTTTAGAACCAATCTTATATTTATTCATATATATTCAAAATATCACGAAAATTGAAAGATAAAGTAATGTATGCAGACGACACGGTACTTTTATATGAAAATAAAAATCCTATCATTTTAGAAAATATAATAAACAGATACTTGATGAAATTTGAAAAATGGGTGCAGTAAAACCTTTTATCAATAAATACTGATAAAACCGAATGTAGGATTTTTCAACAAAAAAATAAACAAAATATGAGTTTACATCTCTGTATTCAAAATGAATCTTTGAAACAAACAAATGAGAAAAAGTATCTTGGGATTTGGTTTGATGATAAATTAAAGTGGGACAATGTTTCGACGAAAAAAATATTTCCTATTATTGGAGCCTTGAGAAGATGTCCCAAGGTCGATAAAAAAGTTGCATCATATACTCAGTCGTATTGACTATTTGATAAATGTTTGGGAATATTGTTCAGAAAACAATAATATATCTGCATTGTATAAAAAGGCATTGAAAGTACTATATCGTTTACCATATCATACACCAACAAATCAATTATATGAAATAACTGAATCATTCTCATTAGAAGAAATGTTGAAAATTGGAATTATGAAAATTACATACTATATCATAAATAAGAGATTGAAATCCAATTTTATTTCAAGATGAAACAATTAAATTCATGATTACCGAACTAGATAACATGGTTTATTTCATCTTGATATCGCTAATTCTTCTATAGGCCAAACAAGATTCACCCACGCTGCTCTTTTCGAATATAACAAATTACCAGATAATAAAAAATTGCAGAAATACAATAAAATTCAAATACGAAGTTGAAGAACTGATCATTTCTCAACGATCGAGATAGATTATTTTTTTCCAACTTTTGATTCATATTCAAATTGATTGTTGCTCACCAATATGAAATGATTTGTCAAAATTCAATACTTTGAAGTGACTCAACTAGAGTAATGTTACGCCACTGTGTATGAACCTGTGACGATGGTAGACGCGGGGCGAGAGATAAAAAGGATCAACGAGCCGGGAGTGATACAGTTGTTACAAAGGGAGAAGGAGTTGAGGCTCTAAGAAGAGATGACTGGTGATATGGAGTAATCACCGATTTGTTTATGCACAAAGTGCAAATTATTTTATTGACAATACAGTTAATTACGAGTCTAGTATAAAGTGAATAACTATTGGAAATAGTAGTGTCCCTGAGGCCTATTTCGAAGAGGTGCGTACTGTGAGTACAAACAAGGGTAATTTTGCACTTATCATGCGATGGTTTTTTTTTCGAAAATTTTTTTTGGTACTTACGTATTTTTGTCTGAAAAACACGAATTTGATAATGAAAATGTGAACAAACCAATATTTATCGAGATATTTCAAAAAAAAGTTCGAAATTTTGCCTTCTTTTCCCCCTTGTGTTGGATGCATTTACAGGTACTTGCTCTTTTTATTTTGTCATTGGAGTGTACTCATGATGTACTTCAATGACACATTTTAAGATAGAAAAATCAACAGGAAATAGATTTTTTCTCCGATTTGCAGCAAATATTAATTTTGCTGACACATATCAATCAGCAAAGTATTACTTTTCCTGCCTAGGCAGCAAAGTGGTTACTTTGCTGATTGATATGTATCAGCAAAATTAATAATCCATAAATCGTTTATAACTTCCTATTTCATTCGAGACTTCTCCGGCAACAAATTCAACTCCACCTCCCTTATTTTTGGAGGTGTGAGTACTTCCAGGTCGCTATCACTGTCCATTATATAATAATTTGAATATACCGATATTTTTTCGCACAACTGTCAGAATTTTCATGAATTGTCAAACTATAATTATCATGGATAACTGCGATTTCTATCAAATTTCATTTTAATTGAACACTACAGGAAAAATAAAGAGATTGTGGGAATTGTAATAATTTGCAATTACAATATCCTATATCATTATGAACAATCGGAGAAAAAATTATATGTTCAACTCGGTAACAAAGTAGCTGGATTCCTAGCCTCGCTACGCTCGGCTATGAATTCAGCCTCGGCAGTCAATCTACTACTTTGCTGCCTAGTTAAACAAATAACTATTTATGGCGAGTTTATTCTATTTAGTGAGCAAGCATACCAGATGACGGCCATTTAATCCATAGGCAATCCAAATACGAGATGTCAAATGTCAATAGATTGCTTTGGAATGACATTACACACGCCATTATTTCAAATGATATTCTTCCTTCTTTTCAGTAAATATGGATAAATCACAAAAAAATCATATTTCAAGTAGACTCATATAATAAAAAAAATGTGTCCAACATTGTGTGATATATATAAATTGTCTAATGATGGAAAAAGAAAGGCAAATTGTTCTAAATGCGATCCAGAAGACAGGCTGAAAAAAAGGTGAAATTCGTAACTTTATAGTGAAATATCTTAATAAATAATGGTTTGTTCACATTTTCATTATCAAATTCGTGTTTTTCAGACAAAAATACGTAAGTACCAAAAAAAAATTCGAAAAAAACCCATCGCATGATAAGTGCAAAATTACCCAAACAAGAGATTAATTAACCTGGCCGTTGAAATTATACCCAAACCTTGTTTTATTTAATACTTTTTGTAATAAAAATGAGATCTATCTGTCTGACTTTAGAAGCAACGTTTATTCAATGACATGCTCAGTCACAATGACAATACAATATAGTATGATTCAATCGCAACATCTTCAAGATATAAATACAGAATGATTCAACTGATCTAATACATATAAGAAATCTAACTAAGTGACCAACTGTAAGCAAGCACCGGCACAGCTGTAAGTGTTAAACAATTATTCTTTCGCTTGATGTGTGGACTGTGGCATGACATGAAAAACTTTTATAGCAGAGGACATTCGCGGTAGTTTTAAGGGGATATCATATAGGAATTTTAGCGAATTTTAATTAGGATTGATCAGCTTATGCTAAATAAAATTGTTTGTGAATCCACAGAGTCTCATTCTCATATTCCCAACAATTAGGGGCATTTCAACTCAATGTATTCAAATATAATATTATTTATGATTTTATCATAGTTGTATAGTTTTAGGTATTATTGTTAACTATACTTCCTTATACCAAAACTTGATTCTGACTGGAAGTCACATTTTCAATAAATAACTAGCGCTTTCTGAAATTGAATGGGTTGCGTGCAAGAACTGTCAGATGACCGACGCTGGAGGCAAAACATTGAAACACAACGTCACTTTTCTTATATGTTTACAAGTGATCGAAATAGTTTTTCACAATTATTTTGGCATACGAATCGTATTTTTTCGCTATTCATCAATTCGCTCATGCCATCATATTATGCTGTTGTGAAATGCACGAAAACTGCAGCGGAAGACGAAGTAATCCGGTAGGTACATTATGATTTATAAGTAAGTACCTACTATAGTCACTCACATATATAGTTTTCATTTTTGAAATTTGGTAATTTCTCTGATTTCTCATCGGAATTCCTTCTGCAATAGGAGCTAATAGAAATATACCTGAAATTTCTAGAATAATGCAAGAAGATTGGATTCTTGCAATCAATCGGGAGGACTGGTCTGACATGCTGACGATCGTGTGTGTTGTAGATATTTTCAATCTATTAGCAGTATTAGCTTGTATTGCAGAAGTGGCAAAAGGAATTTTAATAAGGAATGACAACATTTCATAATGATAACTATGTGAGATTACTATTTACCTGAAGAATCATATTCTTTAGTCTCTTGCTGCATTTTTTGTGCATTGTACAACAGCACAATGCGAAGGCATGCTCGAATTAATGAATAGCGCAAAAAACACGATTCGTATGCCAAAATATTGTGAAAAACTATTTCATTCCTTTGATTCCCCTGTAACCAAATAAAAAAGTGAGGTTGTGTTTCAATAATTCACAGAAGAATGAGGTTGTGTTTCAATATTTTGCCTCCAGGGTCGGTCTTCGTGCACGCGACCTATTGACCCTTCCTGAAGTACAACTGGAAAAGGTGTAGTAGGTACCTACAGATACGAAGTAAGAGACCTACCTGTAGCAGAAGTAGAAGTGTGTGTAGTCTCGATGATCATGCATCAACTCATACATTTCCGAATCCAAAATTTGAATGAGGGATCGCATGTTGGCGAAATGGCAGTCCATCGCGTTCCCATTGGGAAAGTTTTCAACCATTCTTTCCATCAAGTGACAGAAACATGCGTATGTGAGTGATTCGTCATTGAAAATCACTAGTAGAGGAGCCACCAGATCGCACATTCCTTGCATATAACCAATATCCAAGTGCTCCCAGACATACCTTAATAGAAATAAAAAATAATGATGAGACTGTATTTCAGTCATCTATGTACAGTGTGTCCAGTTTTCGATGCTTTTGTGTGGTATCTCAGTTATCTTTCGAGATAGAACCTTGCGGGTTTCGCGGTCGTGTGCCACTTTTTTGTGAAACTCAAGATGGCCTAATCAGATTTTGCATAACTGTTTCCGTTTATGAGATACAGGGCGATTTTGAAAATTTATACTTTTTGGACCCCCTCTATATCTACGAAGTTTCTCAGCGAAAATGTCAAATTGGAATCTTATCCCATATGAAAGTTTACGCAGAATCCAGTGGCGCACTCAAAATTTTTTTTCAGGTTATGGTTTTGGAGATAGGAATCAAACTTATGATTTTTTAAATGGAACACCCTGTATTTTATAAGCTCATAAAATTCCTCATTTCTTTCTCTTCAAAGTGATTTATAATAAATGTATATGAAATTTTCAAAAATGCTCTGAAATCACAAAAACATTGAATTTTGATAGTGAGCTATGGATTTTTCTTATAAAAAAGTTCCAATTGAAGGAATATTCATTTTGATTTTTCCATGAAGAGGACAAAAACAATACCAACACTAATTAACTAAGAAAACACAAAAATTATGTACCTGATAGCGATAAAAAAATAGTAATATAAAGTTCATAATGTAGAATAAGCAACAGATTTTTTTTTTTGAAGGTGAATCTATTTATTTCTCTAAATATAATAGTACAGAGTAGATTTCACACTATGAACAGTGTCGGATCCATCGGAAATTGATAAATAATGAGGAAAATATTACAGATTAAATATTTACAAATACAATTGAATTTCGGAATTATTCAATAACTTATTCACTGAATTGTTCAAATTGATATCCATTTCCCATAACACACAAATGACACAGTTTCTCAATACGTCTTGATACAGTAAGAGTCACAAATATCTTGAAGAACATCGTGCAACAACAGAGGCAGTTTTCCAGGAATTACAAAGACATCCTTTAATGATTTTGAATGCATTAAGACGTATTGAGAAAGCGTGTGAGGGAAAGTGGACATCAATTTGAACAATTCAATGAATAAGTTACTGATTAATTTCGAAATTCAATTGTCTTAGTGAATATTAAATCAGGTGCTTATTTTAGAATGTGAACTTTTTATTACCATTCATTTGTTGCTATCAGGTACCTAATTTTTGTGTTATCTTAATTAAGTAGTGTTGGGATTGTTTTTGTCCTTTTCATGGAAAAACAAATGAAATATTCCTTCAATTGGAACTTTTTTCAAATGAAAAATCCATAGCCCACTAATAAAATTCAATATTTTAGTGATTTTGGAGCATTTTTGAAAATTTTATACCTATTCATCATATTTCATTTTGATGGGAAAAAAATGAGAAATTTAATGAGCTTATGAAATACTGGGTGTTCCATTTGAAAAATCATAAGTTTGAGTCGTATCTCCGAAACCATACCCAGAAAAAAAAATTTGAGTGCGCCACTGAATTCTGCGCGAAATTCCCTATGGGATAAGATTCCAATTTGACATTTTCGCTGAGAAACTTCGTAGATATAGAGGGGGCCCAAAAAGTATAAATTTTCAAAATCGCCCTGTATCTCATAAACGCAAACAGTTATGCAAAATCTGATAAGGCCATCTTGAGTTTCACAGAAAAGTGGTACAGGACCGCGAAAACCGCAAGATTCTATCTCGAAAGATAACTGAGATATCACGCAAAAGCATCGAAAACTGGACACACTGTACAGGGTGGCTGGAATTCGAGCCTCATCATTGGGATCTCGTAAGCCGTAAGAGATACAGGGTCGGTTGAATTATGGCAAAGTTGCGCAATTTGATGCCTAACAGAATGCAGTTCTGAAACTAGGAAAATTCCGAATACTTTCGGAGATATAAAAAAAAATCAAAATTTCATGAAACCTTTTTTATTTTTTTCTGGTGTTATTTGAAGATATCCATCGATATGAATAACACTTTATCATGGCCACTTTTTCTTCCCTACATGATAGCGTTTTCAAATTTGGAATCCGACGTTTCGTCGTCCAGAAACCATCATCAACTTATTTTTTTTCAAATACGGACCTGGATTTTTTATTACATTCTTTGTTACCTTTGACTATGAGCTATCACAAATTTCGATATTCAAGTGTTTCGATTACAAAAATTGACATTTATTTTATTTCTTTCAAATATTCATGATTTCATCCACAATTTATAACCTCTTGAAGACGAGCCGTTGAATATGCTCCAGCAACTATGGTGGCAACAGGATGGCCACCCCAGTGGATTGGAAACCAAGGGGTGGTGCGCTGGCCTGCAAGGAGCCCAGATTTATCCCCACTGAATAATTTTTCATGGGGATATTTGAAAAACCGTTTATTTAAAGATATTTTATAGGACATAAATATTTTAAGAAATAACAACCCTACGAGCTAGAGAAAGAATTATCCAGTGCTCGCTTACGGGCAACCTGCTAAGACGCATACGAAAATCTAGAGGTGCAAGGATTATTCCAGCATTTACTTCAGAAATTGTTTTTGTTATATTCACAATTTAGGCATAGTATATTATTATTGAACTGAGTATTAGATATTATTTTGCCAGAAGTTCAGTTTCGTAATAATCAGGACAGTGGAGGTGTGAGGGGTTTCATTGAAATCTTTCCAATGTTCAGGTGCTGATTAGCGTTTCTTATTTTATTACTGATGAATAATAATGTTTCAAAATTAGTTTCGGATTGAATATTTTGAAAAAAATAGAGAACCCGTTAATTTTTGTCATCGAAACATTTGAAAATAGAAATTTGTGATAGCATATAGTTTTTGGGCTATCCAAAGGTAACAAAGAATGAAATAAAAAATCCAGGCCCGTATTGAAAAAAAAATAGTTGATGATGGTTTCTGGAAGACGAAACGTCGGATTTCAAATTCAAAAACGCTATCTTGTAGGGAAGAGAAAGTGGCCATGATAAAGCGTTATTCATATCGATTGATTTTTTCAAATAACGCCAGAAAACATTTAAATCGGTTTCATGAAATTTGGATTTTTTTCGGAAATCTCCGAAAGTAATCGGAATTTTTCAAGTTTCAGAACGGCATACTGTTAGACATCAAATTAATCAACTTTGCCATAGTTTAACCGACCCTGCATCTCTTACAATTTACGAGATCCCAATGATGAGGCTCGAATTCTAGCCACCCTGTATGTCCTAGCCAATCGAAATATTATTTTAATGGGAATCATAAACTTACATAATAGCCGCGAAAATAAGCGAGGTAGGTGTTTCGTTTTAATTGACTTGACAATGTATAGAAAGAATCAATCGAATACCACACGTGAGCTCGAGAAATTAGGAATCATTGCCATTGGCAACAAGTTTTCGAAAATCTGTCGCATAATTTTCAATTTATCCTCACTCTCTCGTGATGTTACTACAGACAATAATAATACACTTATGTAGTCGATTCGAGGATCTTGTTTTGCTCAGGTGGAGTGCTAGTAGTGAATGCAAAATAAGCCAACAAAGGATAGAAAATATTCGCATCCTTAACTAAGGCGAAAGTTCAAAATTCGAACGTCTTCTAATGACACAGGAATTAAACCATTAAAGAAAATGTTTGCTTTTGAATTGAGTACAGTTTGAAGTTTTATGCAGATTTTTGTACTTCCACTTCTAGAATCCACTGACTCATAAACAACAAACGGAAGGATATTACATGTGGATGCGCGAAAAACTTTAGCGAAGAAAAAGCCAGCATTCAATTGGTTGAGGCATCTGCGCAGTACATAGCAACGTCAGCACTGTATGTTTTTGATATCTGCTTGGAGTCTGTTTGGAACGTATGGCTTTACTCCTTGTAGATTTCATCTTCCCGAAATCTAAGCATCTATTCACGAATACAGATGAAAGTGTTTCTGAAGGCTTTAAGGAAAGTGTTTCTTTGGGCATTCAGGAAAGAAATACTCGCATCAGTATTCGTTGATACGAGAATCGAAGCATAGATTTTGAAAGGATGTGATTTAATGTTCAGCGTGGCATTAGCTAGGAAAGTAGGTAGTTGTCTTTCTTCCGTCATCTACCATTGTTGTTCATTTTATGAACATATGTAGAAGTGACTCCAAGTTTTTGTTTTTGATAATAAAGAAACAGTTTTAGCACATTCAGCAACACAAACGAAGTGACACCTTGTCAGCCAGTCTGCATGATCTCACTGAATTTGTAAATTCAATAATTCAAGCAAGTAAACCGTTCATTATTCCAGATTTTTTGGGATTTTCTCTCCTCGTTTCTATAAAATGAAAATATGAATATTATTTCAATATACGTGTAGTAAGGACAAATCAGATGATTTGCCCCAAAATATCACTGCGTTTAAAGAATTTTCCTATCATAGAGCCCAAAAGAAACATTCACCAGCTTGTCAGTGACAATTTGTATTGAATTCATATTTTCACTTTATAGAAACGAGGATAGAAAATCCCAAAAAATCTGAAATAATGAATATACCACCTCCTCGATGAACCTACAGACAGTATTTAAGTAAACTGTTATTTTGATCTCGTATTTTTTAGAAATTGAAAAATCAGTTGAAAATAAATTGATAGGTATACTAATATCCAGTAGGTAAAGCAACTCACGTGCACATAATATTCCTCAATTTATCCAAATTTTCTTTCTCCATAAAGTAACAGTAATTTCTATCACATCTCTGCACATCCTTTTCTATCCTATGTAGGTTCAATCCAAATGTTTCTAGTAATTCTTGCTGGAATTTGAAAATGAGAAATATAAATATGTTGAGTACCTATCTTCAGGAGGTTAAAACTGGAATTGATTATTAGTGGAATAGTGTAGTTATTCTATTATTTATTGTAGTAGTGGACCCAGTCTTCATTATAATGTATTTTTTTTGAGGCTATATTCGAATAGTTCACAATCCGATCTTGATTATTGTTGATTTTTAGTACAAAACTGTATTCGGCTATATTTGAATTTCTGCATTGATTTTCCAAGTAGAATCATTCCTCGAGATATTTGCGCCACAGATTGCATTATTAGTACTTTCATGATCAGGAAAAAGTTACTTACACTGTATACTCCTCCGTTTGAACTAGCCGGTGAAACGCAAGTAGACCTAGCTGGTGATGCTAACCCATGGGTTTCTATGCAAGTATCTAATGATGAATTATTCTCTTCTGTGACTGCATCCAAATTGGTCATTCTAGCAGTATCAGTTTCATTACCTAAATAGATTCAGAGATATAAACATTGTGATAATAGGAAACTAAACTACATCAACCAGACAACTTTTAACCTGCAACTTCTGTATGATCTTCGAGGAGAAACTTTCCATTTTGATAGCTTTGGAAAAAACTATTTGGAGAAACGCAAGTTGTCTGAATATTAGTAGTAATTGTATATCAACGGGGCGAAGGTATGCAATTCCTCCTACGACAGATTTTGAAGAAAAGTCTAGCTGTATTTGAGATTTTATTTTCAAAGGTATTGACGTCAGTAGAATGTTATCTTGAATTATTTCACATCATATTGATTTATGTTTCGTCAACCGGCTAACCTTGATTTTTTTTTTAGAACTATCTCTTTACATTGACGATGTACAGATAACTTTTGGAATAAAAAAAATTGAAATAAAATTTTCAACACCAGTAGTGCCTCTCAAATGTGTTATCATAATTCTTAATGACCTTCCACATTATAACAGAGTATTTTTAATCTTACATGACAAACATGAAGACCTTTTTATCATTGCAAGGATATTGCATTCTTTTAGGAAACAAAAATTGACAGTCTTTCTACTTTTTTATGTAGTTGGTCATATCAGCCAGGCTGTCAGGAGTTGAAAATTAGAATATCTATTATCATTCAGTATCTCTTTTCATTGAAGCATTGAAGACGTGACTATAATATATCAACTTAGTAAAAATGTATCCACGATTTTACAGATATGGTTCTGTATAATAATGGGTCTTTATTTTCATCTAAATCATTAATACAACTACATATTTTAAATGGGGCGACATTCAACATCGTTGATCTTCCATGCAACCCCGAAAAGTACCATCAAAAATTGCTGTCGTAAATGTTAAACTAGACAAAAAAAAAGAAAAAAAAATTAGGCATTAAAATTAGAGGCTAAAAATACTAAATCAACGTACAAAATATCGTGGCAATACAGCGCAGATATTCAACTTAGCTGTCAGCTAATATTTTCTAAGGTTCACAGGCTCATGTGACCTAGCAACTTCAAAATGGAGTGCGCACCTCAACTAGGTGGGATTTGACTTGTCTCTTAAAGGAGATTATATTTGGAGCATCTTTAATCATCTACGACCTACGATTATGTTCTATTTAATAACATTTTCTAGTTTATTCTTGCTTAAAAATAATAATAACTGATTATTTACCTATACTACATATGTCAACACTGGCATCAATAACTATCACATTATGAATGAAGTCTCTCAATTCCTCTTTATTATGAAGCTGGGAACATTCTTCCGATTTGGAATCTTCATCATCCTGACTTTTCCTATAATCGAATTGACTTAATTCTTCCAACTGGCTTTCGATTTGTGCATTTTCTGGAACGTTGGAGAAATAATATAACATACAGATCAAGCGGTCAATGGGGCAATGGGGTTGTGCAAACTAGTCTTCAATATGACCAATGATAATAGTATTCACATTCACAGAAGACAATAGTTCGACCTGGTCCCTAATAATCACTTATTGAATACTTATATACTTGCAAGATGCTTAAGTACCGATACAAATATCCTAGTATTCCTAATAATGATCGAGATTTTATTTAATCCCAAATTATGTTGTGGCATTGTGGCACGGGCAACAGTGTAGTGACTAAGTTCCCAGAAATACAAGAAAAAGTAGCAGAAGACAAACTACATTGTTAACCTAACTTCCTGGCGTAAATTATTTATTATTATTATTATTATTATTATTAAATATCGGCTGTCAACTTCATCGTCAAATCCTTGTTTCATCTAGTCAAGATGCGAATATTCAGAGATAATCCTCATATATTATGTGATTCTTTAGTTGTGTGTTGTATGCTCTGTTATCTGTAGTAAGTATTCAATTCAGAAAATGCATTCCATATTCTGATTGAAATGACAATCAGAAATATTCTTGCACTTGTCTATCAGAAATAGTGAATTGATACGTAAGTCTAATCTTATATGGTGTTCTCTGATGATTACGTCACGCGTTTTCCAGCGTTTTTCATGTTATGAAATATCGTGAATTTCAATAATTATTTCAAAAAGTCACAGAGCTCTGAGGAAAAAACGCTTTGCGACAGTGAACTAGTTAGGGTTAGTTCTTCGAAATAATGAAATACAATTTTTACTAAAACAGGCCCATTATGGATGCATACGAATCCAGCTGCCCCATCAGAGAAAAGAAATCACACAGTGGTACCATTTGGTGGAATGGAGACCATTCGAATCTGAGAATTCTGAGATCCGCTGGTTTTCCAAGAAAAATAAGCGGGACGGACACTGGCAGGGCTACACCGAAAGGTTGACAAACTATAGCAAAGAACTAATAAAAGTTAAGAGAAACAGCTTCAGGAACTTTTGTGAGACAATCAACACAATCCTGGTAGCAGTCAGATTGCACAAGACTATGGCGAGGTGCAGAGAGCAAAGGACCAATGTCACTGAGAAGAACAGATGGGAGCTACACAGAGGATGAAAAGCAACGAGCTCTCCTCTTACTGGAGACGCACTTTCCAGGCAGCATACCATATGATCCCGACAGGCAACTGGTAGAACCAAGCAAAGCCAAACAAGAATACTGAAGAGTATAAAAGAGCATATGCAATCCCCAAAAGTTGAAGTGGGCAACTGAATCCTTCCAACCATTCAAGTCCACTGGAATCGACGGCATAATACCAGCTCTTTTGCAAAAAGGGCCAACCTAACAACTGCCGTTCAATATCAAAGCAGCAAGATTTGATCTAGCGCTCGGGTACATACCAAGCAACTGCAGAAGGGCACGTATAACCTTCATCCTCAAAGTTAGGCCACTGCACCTTGGACATCACGAATATAGGGGGGGCAGATCGACGGACACCGCTATTCTGCATGTTAACCGAAAACATTTGAAAATCACTCGAGCATAAAGAAATTGCCATATGCGCCTTCTTAGACATGAAGGGAACATTTGACGAACACTTCTCATGAAGAAATTGAAAGGTCATAATGAACAAGGGAATTGATCGAACAACATCACATGTCTTGGTTATGCTGACGACATCACTATGGCCAAAGGTAAATTCGAAGGAATTCCCCGCGATCTCATAAAAAGGGAGCTAGAGACATCCAGAAGGAGGTGCCTATCGTTAGGGTTGGGAATCAACTCATTAAAAACCACAGTGGTACCTTTCACCAGGAGAACAAAACGACAGCACTTAAGGAGTGCCCGCTTCGACAGAGCAGACTATTAGAATGTCAGCAAGAGGTGAAGTATCTGATTCTAGACGCAAAACTTCTCTGGAGTCGACCCGCAGGAAAGACATGTGGTTGCAACCCATGAATACTGCGATGGATGTACACCATGATTGTGAGACCCATGATCACCTACGCAGCAGTAGTTTGGCACGGCAGAACCGAATGCCACAACAAAAATGTTGGAGATGGTGTAGAGACTAGCATTTCTGTGCATAACAGGTGCATTGAGATGGACTCCACCAGCAACACTAGAGGTCATTCTGGACTTCACACCCCTCCACATCATGGTGAGCAGAACTGCTTGGGGAGCACATTTCAGATTGGTGAAGACCGGGCTCAATTGGAAAGCACAGAACGTAAGAGATTCACTGCGCCCACTGGAAGTGCACACCTCGCCGATCTCATAACAGATGAACTTATCAGGAAGTTTAATATTCAGATAATTTACGAAGAACCAAGAGAGAAAGGAGCACAGAATCCATCCAAGCATTGGGAAGAAATACGATAATATGGATGGTATACTTTTAAAACACCCGAGGGAACTGGAGCAGGAGTCTTTGGCCCTCACACTAAATATTCCGAACCGATTAGCCAGTTCTCAAAAATTTTTTTAGGAGAAAATCACGCAATAGAAAGAGGCATACAGTTTAGATCTATGGTTAAACCTAGACGGAAAATACCGGAACACGAATTCGCTATACTCTGCGACAGCAAAGCAGGCAATAAAGCGTCGAGCTCTTTAAACATCAATTCAAAGATGGTTTGGGAATTCCTAGATAAACTCAACTCTTGGCAGGAACAATAAGGTGCTGGGGCACATTGGAGTGGAGGAAAATGAAGAAGCAGACATTCTGGCACGAAAAGAAGCATCAAAGCCATTGATCGTACCAAAACCATTATGCTATCTTGGACATTATTAGAAGAACTTGATAAAGCTGAAGATCAATGAGAGCAATACACTGGCGAAGACTTCCAGGACTTCGACAGGCCAAAGGTCTCATCGGAAATTTCAACCGAGCAAGATCGAAGAAACCTCATCAACCTCAGCAAAATAAGTCTCAAATTAATAAAGGGATTTCTAACGACGCATTGAAGACTCAAAGAACATCTTAGGAAGCTAGGCTTAGAGGACAGCACCTGCAGAACATCCAGAAACACCCCACCACTTCTTGCTGAAGCGTTATGCCATACATCACAAAAGATCGAGTATACTGGGAGCATACACCAACAAATCAATTATATAAAATAACTGAATCATTCTCATTAGAAGAAATGTTCAAAATCGAAAGACTGAAAATTACATACAATATCATAAATAAAAGATTGAAATCTAATTTTATTTTAACACGAAACAATGAAATTCATAATTATCAAACTAGACAACATGGTTTATTTCATCTTGATATCGCTAATACTTCTATAGGCCAAAAAAAGATTCACCCACGCTGCTCTCTTGGAATATAACAAATTACCAGATAATATAAAAAATTGCAGAAATACAATAAAATTCAAATACCATCTTAAAAAATTTATCATTTCTGAACGAAATAGATGACTTACTTTTGATTCATATTCAAATTGATTTTTGCTCAGCAATATGAAATGATTTGTCAAAATTTAATAATTAATGTTTTCAAATATTTTATTATTCATCAGTTTATTATAATTGTATAGTTTTAGGTATTATTGTTAACTATACTTCCTTATACCAGAACTTGATTCTGACTGGAAGTAACATTTTCAATAAATAAAAATAAATAAATACCAGCTGATCCTCTCAAAATCCTCAAATTCCTAAAATAATTGGAGCTTGAAGGGTTGCTATAAACAGATGACTATTAATTCTTATAAAAAAGAATCGATACGTTGTTAAACTTCCTTCAAAATTAGTAGTTTTTGCAAAACAACTATTAATCATATGCTGTTAACTTACCTACATTAGAACTATTTGTTATACTATTTTTCCTACTACATGTACTACTAAAGGCTTCTTCATTTTGTACATTTTCAGTTTGTTTTTTACAAGCGTCATCATCCTCATCACTTGAATATCTGATAGTGTTCTGTTTTGTTCGTTTTGATTTTTTTTTAGTTTGTTCTTCTAATGATTCATCTTCCTCATCACTTATTAGATCAATATTATCCTCAAATACCTGAAAAGTAGATGTTACTTGCATGATGTCTGTACAATAAACACACCATCACTATACTCGAGCTGATCGAGAGATACTAGTAGTAGCAGTAGTATATGTACTTCGTTATGTACATAACAAATTGGCCATCGACCTTACGTGAGGTCCTTCAGCCCATGTTTGTCCTGTAGGCTTTGTTACTAACTCCATTCGCCACTTTAGGAGCAGCACAGTTGAACGCAATAGTGAATCGTCTCCGGCAGAGGATACGAAAATTAGAAATGAGAACTCGTTATATAAATAAAAATGCTCTGCTCTGCCGGGTATCAAACCTAGCGACATTTCGGTGTTCTGATTGTTAGCCGAGCGCTCAACCACTGCGCAATTCCGCTGTATTAGTCAAGATATATTTGTGGTATGATGGAATGATGACGTTTACTGTCAGGAAATGGGTCCAAATGGAAAGCACTTTAATGGAAACAATAAACACTAATTACAATGAATGTTGAGGTATGAATGTACTTGAAATGGATGTATGTATGTAACGAGGCTTGTCTGAATCGTATTCTGCTTGTACGTGCATGTATGTATCGCGAGTCGACTGACGTCTGTTTTGTACGACTGCTTCAGACTGACTGAGTGACTGACGATCATCTATCATCCCTTGAAGATACAGGGTCATATTACTACATTCCTTCCCCACACAATAAAAATTCAATCCATGTAGCGGGTTGGAGGCTTCCTATTCCGTGTAGGGTTCCTTCTTGGTGTAGGGTAGCTTCTTTGTTCATGAGGTATTTCTACATCTTTTTGTAATGCACCGGTGTCTTCATCATCATAAGTGCCTACCGATCTCCCAATTGAATGTTGAGAAATATCCACAATTTCATCCTTTATAGGTGTTGTAACATCCGAAACTGATGTCAAATCATTTGAATGTTCAGTTTCATTTCGATCATTTCCTCTGCTAGCGGAAACGTCTTGCACCCGTTTTCGCATCTGATCACAGTGTTTACGGCGTGAAATTCCATCGATATTCACCAGAAATGACATAGGTCCTGTTTGCTTGACAATTTGTCCAGGAACGGAGCCTTTTTCCAGCGGGTTATTCACCCATACTGCCTCTCCTTCTTTGAAGTATTGTTGTGGAGCTGCTGTACGGTCGTGGTTTCGCTTCTGTGTCATTTGTTCAAGCTCCATATTTTTCACCACATCTGGTTTCATCAGATCAAAACGTGACCTCAGGTGGCGTCCAAACATGAGCTGGCTAGGCGTCCTATTGGTTGATCTCCTTACGGTATTTCTATAGAAGAACAGAAAATTTTGGAGTCTGAGTGATTGTTCTAGAGCTTGGTCGCTGGCGCGCATTCTTTCCTTGAATGTCCGCACTGTACGCTCGGCGAGGCCATTCGATTTTGGATGATATGGCGTAGTTTTGATGTGAGTTATTCCGTTTTCACTACAGAATAACTCAAACTCCTTGGAAGTCAATTGAGGGCCATTGTCGGTCACCAGGAACCTTGGTAATCCAAAACGAGCAAAAATTGCACGAAGCGCATCTATCGTGCTGATCGACGTGATATTATTCATAGGCACAATTTCAAGCCAATGAGTGTAAGAATCGATGAGGATCATCCACATTTTTCCTTCGAAAGGTCCAGCAAAATCTAGATGGAGGCGAGACCAAGGATCAGGTGATATACCCCATGGATAAAGTGGTGCATTTCGGTCATTTTTCCTCGCTTGTTGGCAGGAGCTACATTTTTCCATTTCAAGTGCTATATCCCTATTGATATTTGGCCAATATACATGCAGTTTTGCCAGCGACTGCATAGGTGTTGTACCAGGATGACCATCGTGCAACATTGCTAGTAATTCCTGTTGCAAAGCGGCTGGAATACAGATACGTCCTTTCCACAATAGAATATCTTCTTCGAAAGAAAGTTCTGTTCGCTTGTCATAGAAAGGTTGGAGATCTACTTCTAGATCTTTCCTTTCAGGCCAATATGACTGGATACATTGGATGACTTTATAGAGAGTTTTGTCCTTGACTGTTTCTGTTCTCAATAATTGTGTTCTCACAGACAGTTTACGTACCCTCAAATGTAATAACCGGTCATGACTTGGTATTTCCATTTGCTCTGTGGATCTTTGTAGTGGCAGCCTAGATAATGAATCAGCAGGACAATTTTCACTGCCAGGACGATATGTCACATTGAAATTATAGCTATTTAGAGTCATAGCCCATCGTAGAAGTCTATTGCTTGCGATTTTAGGAGTTTGGCGATCTTCTCCAAAAATACGCTCTAAAGGTTTATGATCAGTGATGAGTGTGAACCTTCTGCCGTACAAATATTGATGGAACTTTGTAACGGCGTAAACTAGGCCTAATGCTTCTTTGTCAATAGTAGAATAACGTTTTTCTACATCACTGAACGAGCGAGAAGCGAAAGCAATCGGTTTCAAGATACCATCGGAAAAACTGTGGGATAAAACTGCCCCTGTGCCAACATTACTAGCGTCGCTCGAAACGACCAAAGGCTTTTCAGGATCATAATGGATCAGGGTGTCATTTGAAGTTAGATTTTTCTTCAAGGTGTTGAGTATTTCGCTATCTTCCTTCGACCAATCCCACTTTGCATTTTTCTTCAAATGTCGATGTAATGGTACGCACTTCACGTGAAGGTTTTCGATGAACCTACCATAGTAGGTGATGGTTCCCAGAAAAGAACGGAGTTGAGTGGTATTACTTGGCATTTGCATCTGCTTTATGGCTTCAATTCGCTCTTCAGTTGGATGCAATCCTGTTTCATCAATTTTATGGCCTAAATAGGTAACACTGCTTCTGAGCAAATCACATTTAGATTTCTGAGTCTTCATTCCAGACTTCTGTAGACGACGTAAAACTTCTTTCAGACGGTGTGAATGTAATACTAAGTTCGAGGCTGTGATCAAAATATCGTCAAGATAACAAACGACGCCTTCTAAACCTGAAAGAATTTGATCCATGGTACGTTGGAATACTGCTGGAGCGAAACTGATACCAAACGGCAAACGTTTGTAGGTGAAATAACCTTTGTGAGTTGCAATAACTAGGTATTTTCTAGAATCAGGATGAACTTCCAGTTGAAGATAGGCATCTTTGAGATCAATTTTTGAGAAATATCTTCCCCCAGATAGTTTTGCTGTGATATCTTCGAAGCGAGGTAATGGGTAATCATCAATTTGGACGTGTTTATTTATGGTGACTTCGAAATCGGCACAAATCCTTAGCTTGCCATTGGATTTCGTTGCAACTACAATAGGTGAGGACCATGAAATCGGTGTATTAGTTGTATCCACAGGTTCTAAAACCCCTTCACGTACCAATCTATCGAGTTCTGCAGACACCTGGTCTTGTAATGCCAAAGGTACACTTCTTGGGCGAAATCTCTTCGGAATAACATCATCATTGATATGAATTCTTGCTTGATGTCCCTTGATGGTGCCTAATTGTTCATCAAAAAGATCATGGAACTCCTGGAGTATCCTTTGAATGCATTTTTGCTCCATGATCTCTTCTCCCTCATAATTATTTGGATTTATAGTACCCTTTTTAATGTCCATATTCTGGTTATCTTTTAAGTGTAAAACTTTCGCACCTGGAGGTAGAGGTAGTTTGAAAGCTAAACACCAATCCAAACCGAAGAGCGGTATGTCGTCATCTGCAGTGACGTACACTGGTAAAATCAAATTTGTGCTAAAAGCTTTCACTTCCACCGTAGCTTTTCCAAGAGTCTTTATTGCTCTTTCACCATACGCAATCAGATCAGCTGTTTTTGTTAACGATGGCTCTCCAATTTCTTCCCAAATCGTTTTTCCAATTACTGCATGTACAGAACCTGGATCGTAAAGCATTTCAATATCGTTTCCATTTAGATGAACAGATATCATAACTTTGCTAGATGAACCAACTTTCCGAATATTCATTGCTGTCGAACCACGGATGCCATCATCAAAATCGGATGTACTATCATCGTCTGTGGAATTATCACTACCATCGTTTGCATGATCGCGAACGCATCGAGTAGAACGCTTCGATGCTTCTCCGTACCTCGAGCTCTGTTTTATTGTGGCATATCCAGAGATAATGCAGACACGAGAGAAATGGTTTCCTTCACCGCAACTACTACATGTCTTTCCATAAGCTAGACAATCTTTTTGACGATGTTTTGAATCCCCACAATAGAGACAATCTGTATCTGGATGTAACTCGCGAATTTTTGACTTCTGTCTGGTAGAAGAACCAGATTTGTTGTCATTTTTGTAAGATATGCGTTGTTTGTTTGGTTTATTAACGCGATTCACATAGCTTTCTGTTGATTGATTGTTCGGCTGGAAAACTGTTAATTGTTTGATTTGTATTGATGCTTGTTCTAGAAGCATGGCTGTTGCTTCAACTTCTTCTAAAGTCGTATCGAATGTAGAATGATTTTGAATAATTTTCTCTTGCCACTCACGATTGTTTATACCAAAAATGAGTTGGTCACGCATTCTCTCGTTTAAACCATTCCCAAAACTACAATCTCCGGCTGATGCACGTAAACGGTTCACATATTCGGTAATAGTCTCATTGTCTTTCCGAAAACAACCAGCAAAGTTTATTCTTTGTGCAAAAATGTACACTTTCTTGCCATAAAAACGATTTAGTACATAGAGAGGTATCGTCCAAAAATTTCTACAGAAGTATCAGCAATCCTACTCAATATTATTTATAATTGAATCGCTCATTCATGAAGGGTTATAATAAGTCAACAGATGAATGACGTCAACTGAGATTATGATGAATTTTAGTTCCCTTAAAATGTATCTTTCATTCAATAATGAACTGATTCAAGTCTCTACTGCTACTACTACTACAACTAGTCAATTTGAGTGACAGTGACAGCATAATCATAAAAAAAGAGGAAAAAGGTTATGGGCAAGATTAGGTTCAAAGGGATTGGGTCTAGCGGCCCTCCACTGTAAGGGTATTTGTGGCTCACACCAATTCATATTTCACCAAGTAGATCCAGCTTCTTGATGAATTATCTTTCAGGTCTGAGGGCGAGAGTGAAACCCTGTCAAATAGCGAAAACCTGATTTTTGTCGCGGAGGGACAAGCACTAAGTATGCCGGGTGTTTAAATTTCGATCCTTACCATTGGGATCTCGGAAACTATAGGAGATACGAAGATGGTTGAATTGGGGCAAAGTTGCGCAATCACAGTCCTAACTAACAATATGCCGTTTAGAATGTTTCGAAATTTTGGAAAATTGATTTCATTTTTTCCGGCTTCATTTTTTATAGGATATCAAAATAAACTACACTTTTGCATTGCTATATATTTTTTCTACTATATGATGGTGCTTTCATTTTTTTGCTAACTGACGTTTTGTCTCCCGGCCACCAGCATCAACTTTATTTTTTCCAATAGGCGTCATATTGGATTTTTTCTGTTTTGGATAGAACCTGTTATTCTCATTTCAATGGTGTATCACAAGTGGCCATTCTTTATGAAAAAATCGGAGGTATTTGAAAAAACAAATGATCATAGGAGGTTTTGAGTTCCAATCTGTCCCACTTACAGACATTCGGTTATTTTGTATATCACGATATTTTTGGCAGAAATGACTTCCATGAGTGGAGAAAAGAGAGATATGACGAACATTTATTACTAATAAGTACAATAGGAACAGGGGCCAGGTAGCTGTGCGGACAGAGTGTCGGTATTCTAATTCGCATTCGCTTGCCGGTCGTGGGTTCGATTCCCAACGACTGCAGAAATTTTTCTGATGGCCCAAGAAAGTGTTTGGGATCACACGTTAAAAGGTAAGGCCCCCGTCATTCCTTGCGCGCACAAGACTCTCGAAGACTTCTGAGGGTTGCTCGTAAGGGGGCAACCGAATGACGGATAGAACAATTTTTAGTCTTCTGATATCTGAAATGTATGAAACTCACAACTAGAATGAATCTCGAACGAACAAAAATAATAAACTAAAATGTAAAGTCGAAAGTTAATCACATCAAATGCTCAAAATGCTGACCTTGTTTATGATAACATTACTCTGCCCTTCTCCGAAGATTATTCACTGCACGATTAATTTATCTCCTCCCCAGTCTTTCGAACTCTAACAATATTGTATTAAAACCATTTCCGCCTAAAATACAGTTTTTTCATTCAAGGTCATTATTTTTGTTCGTTCGAGAATCATATCTAGTTGTGAGTTCAATACATTTCAGATATTTCTATTGTACTTATTTGTAATAAATTTTCATCATTATCACTTTTTTCTCCACTCGTGCAAGCCCTTTCCGCCAAAATACAGGGACATACAAAAGAGCCGAATGTCATTAGGTGTGACAGATTCAAATTGAAACATCAAACTCAGAGCCTTCTATAATGTGTTTTTTTAAATATCGCAGATTTTTTTAGAACCATCTTCGTATCTTTCATAGTTTCCGAGATCCCAATGGTAAATACCTACAGTATGGTCACAAATGATAAGATATTCAATTCAAAAAATTCTTCTAAAAATCATATTGGTTCGAAGTCATTGAACGTTCACGTATCTGTTTATTATTTCCAAAATTATTGAACTACGAACTTTCGATTAATAGTTGAACCTAAACACAGGCGTGACAATGACTTCAAACCATCCACCTGACTTCCTCACTGTCACGTTTCCTAAAATATAGATAGCTCATATAAAAGGTGTGAGGAAGCCAGTGCAGGGAATCATTCAATTTGATCATTCGATAATCATTTCGATCATTCGATCAGTTTCGATCATTCAAGCATTCAATCATTTGCCACTGTGCCCGAATCTTCGGAGTTCGGGCAGAAGAAGATGCCCTTCCTCAGGCTCCCAGAAAGGCCATTTAATTTGTACATATAGGGTAAGTTAAGTTTTATTTATTGTTAATCATAATACAAAGAATAAATGTGTGTATATGTTTTGTTGAAAACCCTTTGGAGTATTCTTTATTATTATCAATTTCAAAGTTCATTCTCTAATGGATCTAGAACACAACTTAGGCAACCCCCGCCTACAGTTTGTGACAGTATGATAGTATCTGTTATATGAATCAAAATTATCACTCTTGTCTGTTTTAGATATTAGCGACATCTAGGTATTGTGGTTGACTAACTCTGATGATCGTTAAAATATGGTATCTATGGTGACTGGAATCTTTGATTTTTTGAAAGTTTAGCGATTTGAAAAACGAAATTTCAATATCGAATCTGTTGAATAGTTATATACAACAATGATTGAGTCCCACGTGATCATTTTTACGAATGATTTATTGGTTGCATAGTAATCTGTCACGTGGTTTTCAATCATTGTTGAAGACTCGTTAGTATCGTCATCTTGCAGAAGATCCGGCTAATTTTAGCCTAAGATTAACCAAATTTTTTGCAAGATGGCATCAGCAGTGTGAAGAGATTTGATTGATTGAAAAATTAACAGTGAATACACTCTCACTTTCACCAGGCCTGACGAAATGCGGCTGGTTTCAGTATTAGCAAACTCTTTCATCCCCTCAAAACGTTACAGTTGATTAGCTTATAAGTTCTTTAGATAGATGTCAAAAACATGCGTGTTTCAAGTTGCAGGTATGAATTACTTTTCTATACTTTTCTACAGTTTCAATCATGAAAAGTGTGATATACCCATAACGACTACCCAGCTAGGCTATAAAAAGTGGATGATACGTAGTTGAATGATTAATTCATGAAATAAAATACCTCATTACTCAATTCTTCTTGGATTTCTTGTGGCATTTGATCTCCCGACATACTTTCACTACTGAGCTTAGCAATAGCATGGGCTTGATTTTCTTTGTCCTTTTGCCTGACTATCGCTTCTACAGCCAACCATTCTGACATTGTATTTTCGTATCTGAAAATAATAATTAATGAAAACCCATCAAACATCTAAAAAATCAAACAGGACAGACATATCAACTTTTTTTACCCAATATAATATCAACACAAATTTATCCATACTCGCTCTCTCCATATGAGTATATAAAATATACAGGATATTTCCAAAGGTGAGAGATCTATTTCAAAAAGATGTTGAACTCTCCAAAAGGAAAAATTTTACCAAAAATCGTCCATATGGTATTTGCAAAATAACGCAAGTTCAATAACTTATCAATGAAATGGATACAGTTGCAGCTCTCTAGTAACAAAAAATGCTTGTCACCGATGTTTTTACAATCGCCATGATGGGGTCGCACTTCCTAGACATACCTCAAATGAAGGGTATGTCAACATAAACAACGTGTGCAATTGCTTAACATGATCTACAGAGCACAGATAAGGCCAGTTTTAGAAGTCTGTTCTCAAATGTATGGGGTTCAGCACCCAAATATACTCTGATGCTTTTAGATGCCATCCAGAGAAGAGTCATTCGCCTGGTGGGTGATGCCACACTCACTAACTCTTTGACCCCATTAGAACACCGTAGAAAAGTCGGTGATCTTTCGCTTTTCTATAGCTACTTCCACGTGTGGTGTTCCTCAGAAATATCTGCTATAATTCCAGCACTAGCTACCAGTCAAACGAACTCGACAGGCCCAGTCAGCACGATGATTTTGTCATGTCATTTAGTTTTTATAATTTGTCACTGTCATTCAATCTTGTCATGCTGTCACTGTAATTTGCTTACTTCGGCGATTCCTGGATTTCTGTCTTTCAATAGCCATCCAAGATGAAACTCAGTTGAGTGAATTTAAATAACTAATTTTTCTTTTTCGTGCCAATGTTGAACCTCATGATTATAAGGTTCTTTTGGCTGTTCAGCCGTTATAAAAAATTTAATCACCCCCTTACCGGACTGATTATTTATGTTGAAATAACCGCTTGATATTTTATTTTATTTGTTGAATTTGTAATCACCACATGGCCTAGGTATGTTTTTTCCTCAGCAAACTTATTGTTCGTCTGTAATTTCATCTCTTACAGGTACTTTATTCAATTTGTGTCTGAAGATGGCTGTTTAGCCGAAACTAGTCACACTAGTAATTGTGTAATATAATTTTGTGGTCGACCGACTTGGTGTATTTTGTTTTTTCTTTGAAAAACTCGTTCGTCTATAGAGCGGCGAAGCTTTGGAATACTTTGCGAAGTATTCCCAAGAACTTGTGACCTCCAAGAGTTCAAAAAAAAATCCAACACCTATCCCCCTATCCTCCCTTGGTGCAAACGATGTTCCGCGAGCATTGTAGGAGGTTTCTTTCGTGCGCTCCAAGAGATAAAAGAAATGCACAGAAAAGAACAATTATTAATCAACATAATAACATGTATTCATGTGTATTTGGCGATCATACCGTGACGATCATGAAATATCCATATTAGCAATCAACGAAATATTCCATTTTTAATGCCTCAGTAATAATACCATTAAATTAAAACTCTTATAGATGCAATGGATATCTTAACGAATTATTCGTCCTATTGAAAGAATGCCTCACCTTTGAAAACATTATTGTGTATGTCAAATATGTAGTTATAATACAATATATGGAAATTGAATAGCTCAATTAGTCCATCTCACGGCTCTCATCAGAAGCTCTACAGGTTGATCCCTGGAAGCGTGACATACGATAAGTCAATTTACTTAAAGAAATACAAATACCCTGTTTATAATATTTTCTTCGATTTCTGTGACTATTCCATGATCAAAAAAATATGCATACTATGTTATCTTCTACTTTCTTGCCGGGATTGGCGCAGTGGAAGAGCGTCCGTCTCACGACCGCAAGGTCGTGGGTTCGATTCCCAGCACGGGCAAGGAACTTTTTTCAATATTTTATTTACGAATTAAATATTGTGAAGTTTCGGAGCATCGGCTGGGGATAGTCCTGCACGATTCGCTGTTGCGTTCCAATTAACAGTGCTGCTCCTAAAGTGGCGCATGGAGTTAGTAACAAAGCCTACACAGAACACGCAGAAAGATATTATGATGATGTGGTTGTGAGCATCAGAGAAGAAGTAGGACGGTGTATGTAGGTGGGTGTGGAAAACCAGCTGAGCGTGAGAGCGGGCCAGCTGCTTAGTAGACCTCGGTCTCGGGGATAACGAGAATAGTTAGCAGTAGAGTCACTGGATGCTATTAGTTTGATAAGAGTTCGGACACAGCTGAACTTTTGTCCTTTTCTATTTTCTATAATACAATGGTTTAAGTGAATAAAAGAATAAGACATATATTCTGCTCTTTATCTTTTCAATTTCCCTAGAAGCGCCTGATTGTCAAAAACGATTTTAGAGGTTATATTTTCTGTCAAATCAATCATAGCCGTAGATGGACAATGGATATAGGGTACAAACACCCATTTCAATTTATAGTGATACACTTCTAGCAGAACAACTGTTATATGTATAAATGAGAAGAATGCATGTACCAACGTTTTAATATTAGAAAATATACACATATGGATAAACTTATAGCTATAAATCCTTATTGTATGTCAAACTGTACTCCAGTGATAAGTATAAAACATGAAGTTATTAATATTTAATTAAAGGTAGGTATTCTCAATATACAGGAAGTAACATAAATACGTTCAAGTGAAGTATTCCTGAGACAATTTTAAGAAATAAAGTCTATATAAGCTTGTGTCCGGAAATGTTTCATTCCGGCGATACAGGGTGTTGAAACACAGAGAACAAATCATTTTTCGATAAACATTTCCTTGTAAAAATGTAGTTTATTTTGACGAGACCTACCAAATACATTTTCCTGTAAAGTTCTCAGCAACTTCACTTAGCGCCCTAGGAGCTAAGCATCTAAGTAACATGGATCGATATAGAAAATATCTCCAAAACGATAACCTCCAGCGTTCCCTTGATACATAAATAATTATTCACTTTTCACTGTTGAATTTTGAATTTGATCGACATCAAAAACGCCATTCAATAATATATCACGTTGTAGTTTCCTTGCTCTTCTTAGTTTTGTTTTCAAATTTCCAATTTCATTATGTAATATTACGGTCATTTCCTCTTTCCATGATTATTTTGTTCTGTTTTTTGTGTGATGATAATAATGGAATTTTGAAATCGTCTGCTTTGTAAATTGGTGGAATAGCAGATTCTCTCAAACAGATTTTGAAATCTTCTGTTCGAAACTGGACCTAAAATATAGGTAGTTTCATTCTGTGATCAGATGCTGTTATAAGAAGCTAATTTTAATGAGTACCTCACAAATTTCGATCGTCTTGAAATTGATTTTCCACCCAGGCCGTTTCATATCTTCCTTCCATAAGCGAATGGTTGATATTTGTTTCGGAAAATTGAATAAATGATATCCATTTTTATCAGATTTGGCACAATTTATTACACAGCAAGTGATTTCCATAGCTGCTTTTTTCTCGAAAGTATAATTATTAAATTTTATTTCAAATCTGACGTTCATAAAATTTACTGTCAAATTCAAACAATTATTTTGAATAAAAAGCGCGGGACGACTATGGTGCTATTGTCACAATGCAAGGTGTGTAACTTAATGAATCTAAACATTCAAAAACCCTAACAGTTGTCATTTCTGTGTCCGAACTCTTATCAAACTGATACCATCCAGTGACTCTAGTTAGCAGGCCTGCCACTGCGCATATGGTAGTGAGTACATTACTAGCCTACAAAACACAGCTGAAAAACTCTGAAAGAGAGCTGATGGGCGGTGCCTGAAAAGGATGTTAGCCAGCTCTCTTGAGCGAACCACATCAGTCATTGAAAACACTTGGGGTTTGCAAAAAGGTCCCATTGGGGACTAGTTGCTGACGTGGAAACGTCCCCCAGTACCAGTACCAGTACCAGTATCTTCTACTTTTAGTTCTAGTCAGAACTTTTGTGGCCCCAGAAAAATAATGTTTGTGTATTGGCATTTACAAATATCGCGTTAGCCATAAATGCGGAAATATTTTTATCTTGCAGTATTATCAGTAGTAATACTCTAAGTAGGTACTTCAAAATATTCGGGTTATAATACATCGATAACTTGTTGCATACTTACAAAGTGTCAGTTTAATAGTTGAAATGATCCGACCGCGGAGTGGGAGGATTATTCTGTTGAACTGACACGATTTGTAATTGTGCAGACAGTTTGAGATGTATAACCTCGATATTTTGAAGTTCGAATAGTATTCGATGCGATTATTTTTTGAGTAGTTCTAAACTTGAATGTTCTGATTGGTTGAAGTTTATACTAAAAAAATAATCGAATATATTCCCAAATTGATTGAATGATCACTGATTCATCAGACAGAAATTTTTGGATTATTGGCAATGGACAGTAGTCTCTCCCCCTTGCTAGCAGAATTTGTTCTACACAATTTAGAACAAGAATTAAAGAACTCTCTACTTTACAATAAAATTTTTGACTGGTCTTTTTTATGGTAGGATGAAGTAAACCTCCTTTTGAATTTTTTGAACACTTATATCCTTCTATCCAGTTTACCATGGAAATTGCAGTGAATAACTCTCTTCCATTCCTAGATCTGCTTATTAACATCAATATACCGTAAACCAACACACACCGGTTCAGTCATTCCATTCAATTCTTGTGATCCTATCTCACACAAGTTAGATGCTTTTAATTCTCTGTTTCGAAGATTGTTCACTATTCCTATGAATTCTACAGATTTTGATAATGAACACAACACAATTATACAAATAGGTTTCAACAATGCCTATCCACCATAGCTCCTTGAGAGAATTTTCAATACATTTACAAAAACACAGAAACCAAAATTCACTACCTTTGACTAATTCTTATACACGGCTTGCTACAACTCCATTTTTAGGCAAAGTCTCATATGATATTGAGAATATTTCTCACCGGTTCAGTGAAAACATAAATGTTTTATTTTATACTGCTGTTTCCCGATCCTTGGTAAATAACAAAGATGAAGAGCCTCTCCTACATGAAACAGGTGTTTCTAAAATTTCATGCTCAGTCGATAATTGTAACGCTCAATACATAGGTCAAACTGGAAGAAGGATTCAGACTAGTTACTGAACATGTTAAATTTATTGAAAAATCGAGAAACCCACACTTATACGTTAATAATACTAAAAATTCTTCTGCTTGCGACATTCTGAATTCAAAATGCTTCTTTATGAAATAATCATGTCATTTCCATTAATGAACAAATTTAATTTGATAATATCATTTTTTTTATTCCAATGTACATCTCCTGTCAGCTGTCTTTGTCTGCTTTATCGACACCTGTCAACCGAGTCTGTCATTGTCAGTCAGATCATGTGGTTTCCGGCTTTCACTTGCTGCATGATTGCTAGTCAAAGATGGCAGTCGTCAATTGTTTCATTAACCCAGAGGCCCGACTGTTATGGCACCGGTTAGTTTTTGATCCGCCATAATGTGTAATATATAGAGGTTTTCAGATTTTCCTCTCAAATTATAAAATCTGATATATAATTTTTTCACAATTTTCTCAAAATGCAATTTTATGATAATTTTCAACAAAAATGTTTTCAACTATGTAAGTGATTTTTTAGTAAGGATTCCACTTTAAACTCATTTTGTGTTGATTGTAGGACTAATTTCTTATAAGGTTGATGATGGACATATTTATGTCCTAAGCATGTAATCTTTGATGTGACATTGCTCAGAGTAAACTGTCGTGGAGATGATTTTGTGTTGAGAATTTCAAGTTTCACACTATTGTTCTCAACGTGCGACATATGCGAATTCGGTTGAAAAAATTTAATGAAATTTAAGAATTATTGAAAAATGTTCTTCTTCTTCTATATCTGGAATTCTCGTTCGACTAGATTTGGTATTTTCTGAGAATGTAATTTTCAGTGAAAGAAAATACCAATACCAATGAAAATTAACTCATGAGTTAACTTCTATTAATTTAAATAGTTTTTTAACGGCATTGCAGTTATTTGAACTTACGCTTGTTTTGTTTCTTCGCTGAGTTCGTGCCTGTGTTCTGAAGTACTGCCAAATTTGTAATGGCCCAAAAGATAGGGCCATATTTCTCGCCTGAGTTCCTGAACAATCCCTCCAAAGTACGTCAGTCTGTATACTTCTGAATAGTCAGATACTACACCATCTATACAAAGTTCAGCCCATTTTTCCAAAGTTATCCCTATTAATATAAAATATTGTTAAGTTATTCGCAGTTTTTTCAATATCTTGTATATTCGATGATATAATTTTTGAATTACTATGTGATAATAAAATTGAACTATTCACATTGCTATATTTGATCACCAACGTTTGATATGAAAATGATACATAGGGACTAAAGTAGGTAACCCATTTGATCTTTAGGGAATGAAGCAAACCTTTGCAAAGTTCCTTCATTATTTCAAAGCAAAATAACATGGTTATCAACTTGTAAAATTGTCAGATTACATTGCAACATTGGTAGGTTACCTTATCTGGGTGATTATTTTCTCGAAAGTGCAAAAAATAGTGCATATAGTGTCGGAATAATGTGATAAAGGAAAGAAAGTAGTAGTTGTTTTCAAAACAATATTGATTCATTATTCCAAATTTTTTGGGATTTTCTCTCCTCGTTTCTATAAAATAAAAATATGAATATTATTTCAATATACGTGTAGTAAGGACAAATCAGATGATTTGCCCCAAAATGTCACTGCGTTTAAAGAATTTTCCTATCAGAGAGCCTAAAAGAAAAATTCACTAGCTTGTCAGTGACAATTTGTATTGAAAAAATTTTTGAAGAAGGGAAATAAAGGTATATAGAAAAAATATCAAATTTTCACTTATCTTTGGACGTTTCGGGACCGGTTCTGCCAACGTCACCAATTGTCATTGAAAACTGAAAAGCTTCAAGACATTATACGACTTCGCTATTGAAATAATCTCTTCTTATGTTGAAAACGGGAGCAGAACCGGTCCCGAAACGTCCAAAGATAAGTGAAAATTTGATATTTTTTCTATATACCTTTATTTCCCTTCTTCAAAAATTTTTTCAATACAAATTGTCACTGACAAGCTAGTGAATTTTTCTTTTAGGCTCTCTGATAGGAAAATTCTTTAAACGCAGTGACATTTTGGGGCAAATCATCTGATTTGTCCTTACTACACGTATATTGAAATGATATTCATATTTTTATTTTATAGAAACGAGGAGAGAAAATCCCAAAAAATTTGGAATAATGAATATACCACCTCCTCGATTAACCTACAGACAGTATTTAATATTGATTCAAATATTTTTTTTAGTGATAGATCCATTTGAAGAATCACTCGTAATCATTGAGGAATTCGTTAGTACAGATATATCATTTCATCTAATTGTGCGAGTTCTATTTTAAATAAATTTTAGGTCCAGTAGTTACCTTGAGTAGCATCATCTCCATTCACTATTTTGGCGTTAACCACCCCACTCAAATGGGTTCGCACAGTTGAAAGATGTCGGCAATATGCTAGCCATCCATAAAATGCCCTTAAAAAGTAGAGAAAATGAAACGAGGATTCACAAAGGTTCGAATGTGTTGGGAGCTCTAACCTAGATATAATTTGGCGTTTCATGGAATCACAAACAGCTTGAATGTAAACACTAGGTGGACTATCAGGAACATTCTGGTCTATGCTGAAACTTTTGGAGGAACTATCCGAACTTGTGCTAGTGCTATAGTGTTGTACTCTTACTTTTGGTGAAAAGGAGGCGATGGTGTCCATGAGTTCCTTTCCTTTCACTAAAACCATCATAATACTTACTCATTGACTTTGTATAAATATAAAATGAACGGCTTAGAATTTGAGATAGCTGGGTGCACCAAGTCTATTTATTGACGTATGCATAACTTCTTCAATTTGGCAATTATTCATTTTGCTTGATTATTTGGCAGACAGTATTTGGCTATTTTTCATTATCTTACTATACAATGAAACATATTATGGATGACTACCTGTCCGGCCCGGCATCACACGGTTGGTGTATCCATTTAAAAAATATAATACATTTGTTGCACGTTGCAGTCGCTCTAAGCTATGAGAGTATCTACAGTACTAATATTTTTAAATTTTTCGAGCTCACCTATAGCTACTATTATATACTTACACCTATTTTTTCATTATATTATCTTTTGTATTTATACCAAAGCCAATTGTATTCTAAAATCATCCAGGAAACCATCGAAATACCCAACCAAATCGGTTCAGCCGTTTAAAAGTTATGTGATAAAGATAAATACGAAATAGTAGAAGATCCGAACCTACATCGACCTTCACCGAGCTGATAATAGAACGAAATATATTTTATCATGAATTTAGTATATTAGAAAACATATTAAAAATGGGTTGGCTAAAAAAATCCTGGGCAGACTATCTTTAATTATTTTTCGAAAAATTATTTTTAATTAAATGTTGCAACATCAGGATAATAAAAAAATTGTGTCCTGACTGAAAGTATAAAACGTATAGAATGTGCAGCCGTTGGGTTGTCTACTATTTACCTGGGCGAACTACTGGGTTGTCAGGTAAACACAGGTATATCGATGCCAGTTACTTTCACTGGATTGGATAATTTAATAGTTATTTAACCAACTAGTGTATTAATGAGGGCGATTAATGATCGAGATATTTTAACGTGCGAGCGACGCGAGCGCGTTAATGTTCGAGATCATTAATCGCCTTTTAATATACAAGTTGGTTACAAAATTTTTCCGTCGACTATATTCCTCATTTCTCCTGCAAAGAAGAAAACTTGGTTCGCGAATTCATTATTCATCTGGAAACTGCTAAGAATCACCCAGTAGCCTTGTTACTGACATCAGTGACATTTGACATTTGTCGAAATGATAAACAAAGAAAATAAATTTCTTGTGTTAGAAAACAGGGATCAAAATCGTTTCAGAAACTTGAAAAGGCGAAACGGAAAATCGTCGATGAAATCTATATTTTCGATTTAAATGCAGATTCCGCTAGTTATAGCATAAACAATAAATGCACGCGGTGTATGTTTGGTTGCCTATAAAACAATCGTGCATTAATAGACAAATCGTCCATTAATAGGGGTCATTAATGAACGATTTCATATACATTAAACTTAGTCGTTAATACGAGGTCGACGGAAAAAAAAATTATATCATCATAAGCGCTGTTTAATTGCGAACACGTTGATATAGGGTTGTCTGCGAAAATTCCGGTCCTATTAGGGGTTTGCGAATTTTAAAGATTTTAATTTCAACGCGCGTGGAAGTGTGTGACAGAGAGATCCGAGGTAAGTATACTGTGTAATAATAAAGGACCCAACATCGCAGTCGCTTGTGATGGGACCCTGAATAGTAGAAAGTGCGCATGCTCGGTGTGTAAACTATGGAGGGTAGAGGTACCTCTACTGTTGAAATACAATGATTGGATTGCAATTAAAGGAATTTGTTTGATACTATTATTTATCACCCACTGTAGATTGAGTTTATTAATCAATGTCAATAAAAATATTGAAACTGTGAACGAAAGTCATTCTCATAATTCTTCATTAGTTTTGAGCTTGTATCGATAATTTATTCATTAGAACCACTACAGATAACAAGAGGTTATGGGCCCAGAAGGTGATAGTGATAAATTTCGAATCGCTCTCTTCGACGGAACAAACTTCTCAAGTTGGAAATTCCGGATGGAAACCTTGTTAGAGGAACATGATCTACTTCATTGCATCGAGGTTGATGCAACAGAAGAAGATTCTTTCCAGATTCAAGCAGATGATACTGCGGAAATGAAGCGACACAAGGAACTACTAGCACTGAAGAGGAAACAGCAAGACTCAAGGTGCAAGTCAATGATAATTCAAAGAATTGCGGATAGTCATTTGGAGTATGTGAGAGACAAAAAGAGTCCAAAGGAAATATGGTTAGCCCTGGAAAATGTGTTTGAAAGGAAAGGTGTAGCAAGCCAACTATTCCTCAGGAAAAGACTGATCTTGATGAAATATCATGAGGAGAACAGTATGGAAAAATTTTTCCTGGAATTTGACAGGACTGTCAGGGAACTCAAAAATACAGGTGCTACCATAGAAGAATTAGATATAGTTATTCATTTGCTGCTTAGTTTACCCAAGTCTTTCGATTCCCTTGTTACTGCATTGGAAACTTTAGCAGTTGAAAAACTCACTTTAGATTTCGTCAAGAAAAGACTTCTAGAGGAAGAAACGAAGCGTAAAAATGCAGACACTGAAGAAGATTCGAACAACGGCGGTGAAAATAAAGCAGCGTTCTCTGGCAAATCCCAATTCAAGTACAAATGTTACCGGTGCGGAAGAATTGGACATACGCGCTCTAATTGTAAAGCAGACTTGCATAGAAAAAAAGTGCAGAAGAAAGATTCACAAAAAGCTAGCCTCAGCATGGAAGAGAATGAATTGGCATTCATAGGAAAGTGCAAGGTAGCAAACAGTGATGATTCTGACAACATCACTTGATATTTAGACTCAGGTGCTACAGATCACATGGTTAATAGTCAAAATTACTTCGACTCCATGAGATTTTTGAATACACCAGTAAAAATAGCAGTCGCCAAGTCAGGAGTTGCCCTCGAAGCCAAAAAATCCGGAGATATCAAAGCTTTTTCAATCATAGGAAAGAAAAGGATACTTTGTACAATAAGAGATGTACTCTTCGTACCCGGACTAGCTTATAATCTACTCTCTGTTAGAAGATTAGAAGTCGCTGGCATGAAAGTGACATTTGAAAATGGAAGTGTCATAATTGAGAAAAACGCAGAAGTAGTAGGACAGGGTGTTAGAAATGGGAAACTCTACGAAATGAACTTCGAGATCCAAAAGAATGACAACGCCTGCCTCGGAAATACCTCTGGAAATCAAGCTGATTTATGGCATGAACGACTAGGGCATGTCAGTTATGGAATTTTGAATCAGATGATGAAATCAAATTGTGTAACAGGAATAAACCTACCATCTACGAACAATTCTACGGACATATGCGAAGCCTGTATCAATGGTAAACAAACTCGGAGTCCATTTCGTGACAGAAATTTACCAAGATCGAGTCGACCTCTAGAAATTGTATACAGCGATGTATGCGGTCCACTTACTCCAAGTACTTGGAATAATAAAAAGTACTTTGTGGTTTTCATTGATGATTTCACGCACATGACTGTCACCTACCTACTTTTCTCTAAGGATGAAGTTCATGGATTCTTTCAAGAATACGAAAGCATGGTAACCGCTCATTTTGGTTCAAAAATATCTCGGCTGGTATGTGACAACGGTGGGGAGTATGTGTCAACAGCATTCAGGAAACATTGCAGGGAGAATGGAATTCAACTGGAATATACAGTAGCATACACTCCGGAACAGAATGGCGTTAGCGAACGTATGAATCGGACTTTGATGGAAAAGGCTAGAGAAATGATCTTCGCATCTGGCTTATCAAAGGAAATGTGGGGAGAGGCTATTCTTACCGCCACATGGACTCAAACAAGCACCGAAATGTTGGAACGATCGTCTTAACACATTTCTAGTCGGCGTTGGTTTTGTAAGATCTATTTCAGATTACTGCCTGTACACGAAATTCACTCCAAGAGCCAGAATTTATCTAGTGATCTATGTAGATGATCTACTTATTGTCTCTAACGAAATTCTTGAAATTGAATTGTTGAAAAGGAAACTATCAGAACAATTCGAAATGACAGATGAAGGAGAGGTGAAATACTACCTTGGAATGAAGGTAGCAAGAGTACGTGAAAATAAAGAGTTGAGAATTAGTCAAACTCATTACTTGAGACAAGTATTGAAACGCTTCAATATGGATGACTGTAAGCCCGTTAGCACACCCATGGAGACTAATCTAGTTCTAGAAACTGGGGAGCACAAAGATCAAGAAGAGGCCAGAGATCTTCCATACAGGGAACTTGTTGGTTGCATTATGTATCCCATGTTATGCTATCGACCAGATCTGAGTATAGCTATCAGTTTCTTCAGTAGATTTCAAAACTGTTATACAAAAACACACTGGAACCATCTCAAGAGGCTACTAAGATATATTAAAGGAACTATAGATTTCGAGCTGTGTTTTGAATCAGGAAGTCCCACAGAAGCCATAATTGGATTTGCAGACTCCGACTGGGCAGGTGATTCAAAGGATAGAAAATCTATATCTGGGTTCCTATTCAAAGTATTCGGGAATACCATTTCTTGGACAACCCGAAAACAAAATTCTGTGGCCCTATCGTCAACTGAGGCGGAGTATATATCGGTCAGCACTGCTACATGCGAATTACTATGGATCCAAAATATTCTGCAAGATTTGGATATTGTCTTTCGGAAGCCAGTAGTCATCTTCGAGGATAATCAGGGCTGTATTAAAATGACTAAAAACTCACATAACATGAAGAGAACTAAACACATCGATATAAAGTATCATTTTATTAGAGAGAATGTGGAAAATGGTTCACTATCATTGCAATATATACCGACTGACCAACAAGAAGCTGACATCCTTACTAAGGCTCTATCCAAGAAAAAATTTGTATACTTCAGAACAAAAATAGGACTTGGACCTTCCAGGATTCTTCAATTGAGGGGGGGTGTTGAAATACAATGATTGGATTGCAATTAAAGGAATTTGTTTGATACTATTATTTATCACCCACTGTAGATTGAGTTTATTAATCAATGTCAATAAAAATATTGAAACTGTGAACGAAAGTCATTCTCATAATTCTTCATTAGTTTTGAGCTTGTATCGATAATTTATTCATTAGAACCACTACAGATAACAAGATCTACTACCCTTCATATAGTAAACAGTGCGTGTTATTTTGGAGCAACTGATATTTCAGTAGCAAAAAAAAAAATTAATTAATTACATAATAATTAAATATATTTAATATATAATAATAATATATAAAAACAATATAATATCAATATATTGCGTTATAACCATAATGATATATCTATAATCTATAATAGACAATAAAAATATCAAATACTTACTTTGAAATTTTTTTGCTCTTTCTGGAAATAGAAACAAAGTGAACCGCCAAAAATTTAAATTAAGAAATAACAAAAAAGATAGACTAGACATCTTGTATTACGATTTAAAATTTTATTAAAAAACAGTATAAATACAAAAATAATATTAATGAAAAATAAATTCTAATAAATATTTTCTATTCAATATCTGATTCATCAGAAGTATCATTTTGACTCTCGAATTCGTCTGATTCATTAGATTCTTCCTCATTTGCTTCCATTTCGACAATGTCTTGGATTTTCAAAGGAGTTTGATCTCCGATAAAACCTGTTGGTTTTAAGAAATCATCAAAATGCCAACCATAGTTTTCAGGATTTGACTTCGCACACTTCGCACACTTTCTACTATTCAGGGTCCCATCACAAGCGACTGCGATGTTGGGTCCTTTATTATTACACAGTATACTTACCTCGGATCTCTCTGTCACACACTTCCACGCGCGTTGAAATTAAAATCTTTAAAATTCGCAAACCCCTAATAGGACCGGAATTTTCGCAGACAACCCTATATCAACGTGTTCGCAATTAAACAGCGCTTATGATGATATAAATTTTTTTAAATTATCCAATCCAGTGAAAGTAACTGGCATCGATATACCTGTGTTTACCTGACAACCCAGTAGTTCGCCCAGGTAAATAGTAGACAACCCAACGGCTGCACATTCTATACGTTTTATACTTTCAGTCAGGACACAATTTTTTCATTATCCTGATGTTGCAACATTTAATTAAAAATAATTTTTCGAAAAATAATTAAAAATAGTCTGCCCAGGATTTTTTTAGCCAACCCATTTTTAATATGTTTTCTAATATACTAAATTCATGATAAAATATATTTCGTTCTATTATCAGCTCGGTGAAGGTCGATTTAGGTTCGGATCTTAGACTAAAAGGATAATTCTTACTACCTGTTGTCCTATTACCCGTTTTCCCGTAGGAATGAAGCATTTTCCCGCGGTAAAAAGTAGCCAAAAACAAACAAACAAATCTTTCTCCTTTATGATATTAGTATAGATATCGCTACTTCTTCTAATTCATCTTAAAGTGATTCTAACCGTTTATAGCAACAATGGGAAGATTGTAATAATGGAAAAAAGCATGGAATTCACTATTTAATGAGCAATAAAAAAATGCAAACATCCAATAATGTATAGGACTGACCCAACCAATTTCCTAACGCCCAGACATTTTCGATGGAACTTTGAGTCGACAAAAATTCATTATGATCATGTCAGAAAGTGACATATGAAGTTGAAAAATATCGTTCAGAAATAAGTTTCACACATGAATCTGCTCCATCTTGTATTCTTTTTTTAATTTCAACAGTGTTTAATTACCTATTTGTAGTGTTTTTGAAACATAGTTCCGAATGTACGAACAGTAAAAAAATGATCCCCTTTGATCTATGAATTCCGTTATATCCATGATGTTATTTCTTTATATTAGTGATGTACAGTCGTCTTCAGAGATCATGTCGCACATGGACGGTGTCAGTTCCCTTGATCACCGCTGTAGTAAGAGCGCTCATACCGTCCAACCGCGACATGTTCGTTGAAGACGACTGTACCTACAGTGAGGATTTCACAGTGATCTGTCTCGTGGACGAAATTTGGTTTTTTTATTATATAATTAGGCAATATAATTATTATAACCTGAATCTTCTGAACATTCAATTCTTCGAACTTCCAAATTGACATTCATTAACATTTCCAAATGAAAAAACTGAGATTTACACAAAATTCTTAGTCACACAACATGTTTCGCTAACACAGTAGCTTCGTCAGGTGAAATACTGGTAGGTACAAGTTAAATATAACTTAAGTTTAGGCAAGCCAAGGTTAGTTTATTTCTTTGTACCAGTATTTCACCTGACGAAGCTATTGTGTTAGCGAAACATGTTGTATGACTAAGAATTTTGTGAAAATCTCATCGTTTGTGAAGTTTTCATATTTGCTATGGATTTCCATATCAAGTACCGGCCGAGTCGATTCGAAGGAATTGGCATTTCCATTTTCTTTTAGGAGAAATTTGGAAAATGTTTCTGGTACGTAGTATGGAGATTCTTGGGACACTTTAAAGATACAAATATACGTGGCGAAGTTATTGATCATGACAGGGAATTTTGTACTATCATAAAAGATGTATGAGTTGATGTACTATAATTATACAAATATTCATCTTCGTCTGTTCATTCGTTAGGACCAAGTTACCCGCTGATTTGAAAACTTGCAACAGTGATATAAAAGTCCCGTTGCAGTCGATTTATCGACAAGTGGGCATACTTGCTACATGAGTATTTTTTTCAGAGTTATCTAAATCAATCCAGAATCAGTTTGTGATCGAGTAATCCAATAAATAAAATATTTTAAAGAGACTACATTATATTACCTAGTGTTATGAATGCATTTCATAAAACAACTTCAAGAACCTCTCGAATATAATTCCTAACATCAAAAAGGACTAGTAAAATCTCATTTAGCAAAATAAACTCTACCATAGAGGTCCTATGGTAGTGTTGGTGCGAGTTTGAAGGGTTGTTTTGGGGTGGTAGTTGGAGGAAAGGTCTTATCAGGTATCTATTATGATCACAAACAGTAAGTACAATCATTCGCACCTGTTCCAAGTTTTCGGCGAATTTTTTCAACTCTGACTTTGCAATGAAAAAAAAATGGCAACACTGTTCAAAGTTGAGCAGTGATATCGCGGCATTTCGTTAGTGATATGATTACTAAAGATAACCTATATGGAATGAACGCCATATATTGAATTGATCATGTCTTTTGACTTGAAGCTTTTGATGCTATCTTTTCCTGTCATATCCCTGCTTATATTTTCAGTATGTTGTTATCTTCAGAAGAGCAGGTAGGTATGTAGCATTTGAGAAAATTGTTTTTGAAGATGTTGCAAAAATGTATCTGATTTCATCTCCAATTTCAATATGATTATTTTCGAATTTTCAATGAGATCTTAGTAACAAAGGTATTATTAGCTTCTTGTTTCAACAGTAGTTGAATGATTCCATTTTCAAAGATGCCAAAAATCAAGGATTTTGAAAGTAAATCTCAATAGTTTTGGTAACAGACCAATTAAAAATTCTACCACACGCAAGAACAAGTTTTACTGACTGTGAAAATCTCAGTATCCCTGAGGGAATTGGTCCCAAGCATTCGATTTTTTTCTGGACAACTCAATATTCTATAAAATGAAATTGCCGTTTGGCAATTGGCTATATTTCAAATGATTTATTGGGCTACAAATAAAAGCACTGAATTCACGAAAACAAAAATGAATCACAGTTTTTTAAATTAGTTTAAATGACGAACTCAAAGCTTTCAGATATGAAGATCTTCAAAATGGGTAGGTAATTACTTTTGAAAAAAAAAAGATATACTCACATATGTCCTTATGATTACTGTTGTCTATTATGCGGAAAACATAGTCTTTCGATGTTTCTTCTGTTTCACTTAGAACTGGAAGTGGCCTTCTTCGTTTAGAATAATTTTTACCAGTTCTTTGAGACCACAAAGGAGGATCCAACCTTCCTCTAGGTAAAAGTCCCGTTTCTATGCAACTCAGGAAGGCGAGCATGTGACCACCTGTAACCAAAGTATATTTTTCTATCAACTTTCTTCACCGTAAGCTGAAGAATATTCTTATTTATGTGCCACGTGGCACATTTTCGCACCCTAACCTAGGAGAAAAGGAAAACCCTTCCTAACTGTATATTACTGCATGTAACACATGCAGGTATGTTAGATAGTCTATCGAAAATGGAATGGGAAAGCTCGACGTCACAGATCACAGTTCATGTCAAAGATGTTTCCTATGAAAACTTATTGGAAAATAAAAAAGGTATTTGTGTTGTTTTCATCATGGTTATTTTCATGGTAATTGAATGGGTTGACATATGAGGTCGCCGGTAATTAAACGTTCAAATTGGTGAAGATCGTGAAGTTTTTCAAGTTTTTCATAGATGAAGAGAAACTGATAACTTGAAGAATTCACCCGTCCTCCCATTCCATTAAAAAAAATCTCAGAATAACGTTCAAAAGTTAACTAGGAGGGGTCACTTTATGGACACAATGTATACAGGGTGGTCCACTTTATTTATTTATTTATTTATTCGATTTTAACCAAACAGGCCGAGACGGCCTTATTACATGGTTAACAACTAGACATAATACTTGAAGTGTAATAATTAGGCTATGAACCTACATCATAAACATGTTACATACCAATATATCCTTAATGAATTGCAGGGGCTTGTACCTAATCCAAAATAATAATATATAATATATACATATATATATATATATATATACACCTACACAAACATATACATATACATATATACATTGGAAATATCGGAAAAATCCATTGAGACCTGTTACATTTCATAAGGAGATATCCAATATGTGATTGATAATTACTGTATAAAAGACTTTAGGGGGTAGAGAGAAATCGACATTTACAAATACATTATAATTGTTGATTAATTTTATAATACTTACGAGAGGAGCTCTTAAAGTTAAGAGAGAATTTGGTATATTGAACATAAGTATTGAACGAGTACGACGCCCAGGTACATTAAAAGGAATAAGTGAAAGAATTTCGGGACTATTTAATTTACTGTTAATCACCTTGTACAGAAACATAATTGCAATTGAATTTCTTCTCTGGTCCAAGGACATCATTTTGAATTCATTTCTTAAATATGTTGATCTAACTGTATAATCAGGCCAAGAACGGTATTTTCTAAAATACAATATTCTTAAAAATTTGTTTTGTACTCTCTCTATTTTATCCAATGAGGATGCATACTCTGAAAACCACAGTAATGATGCAAACTCCAACTTAGGCCTTATAAGTGTAATATAGAGTAGCTTTATAGTGGTAATATTTGTGAATGCTGCAGATTGTCTCATTACATATCCTAGCGTTCTGTTAGCGGTTGACACTATATTCCTTATATGTTCCGCAAATGAAAAAACTCCATTGTAGGTTACACCAAGATCCTTAATTTCTGTACATCTGAATAGATCCTCTCCTCCCATCTCATAGTTAAAGATAATCGGCTCTTTAGTGCGAGTTATACTCATCACTTTACATTTACTGAGATTGAAATGTAGTTTGTTAATCAGGCTCCATTCATAAATACTATGCATGTCTTTCTGCAGCATAACACAATCCCTTACTGAATGTACTTTTTTATATACTTTGAGATCATCTGCAAACAAGAGGCATTCGGAGTATTTAATAACCGTAGAGAGATCGTTTATAAATATAATGAAGAGGAGAGGCCCCAAATTGGAGCCCTGCGGCACTCCAGAGTTTGCATAATATTTTCCAGATACATTTCCTTTATGTCTGACAATAAATTTTCTATTTTCTAAATAATTTTTTTTTTTTTTTTTTTTTTTTTTTTTTTTTTTTTTTTTATAGCAGCATGATTTTTACAATCGATAAATCTTATTTGGAGAGTAAAATATTTTATAGATATTTTGGTCTTATTTGTTTTCGAGATACAGGGCGAAATTGGGAATGAACGTAAAATTATGTTTTTGAGCACCTTGTATGAGCTATCGTTACATGCTGCAAAACATGGTCTCTTATGTGACTGATGAAATGGTGCCAACATACCGGAATGCTATCTGTTTTGGCTATCCAGTAGGTGTCTTATATGAACTATTGGACATCCACACCAACATTCTTAGTCAAATTTGGTTTTTCAGTTTTTACTCGAAAACGGTCTATATACCCTATGGAGTTTCAACAAGAAATACTTTCTTCCATATTTCGAAATAGATTTGGAAATGTTCTATATTACGTGTTCAATACATAATGAAAAATAGTGATATTGTTCTAACGACGCCACTGGTATTTATATCAGTTGAAAAATACTATAAACTATTTACTTACAAATACTTCTACATTTCGAAATAAAATTCAAAAATTTTCCATAGTTATGTGTTTCATACATAATGAAAAATATTGATATTGTTTCAACAACGCCACTGGTATTTGTATCAGCTGAAAAATACTATATATGATTTACTTACAGATACTTAGCATGTCACCAGAATATTTGTTGTTTGTATGGTTTTCAAGTAATTGTTTTAACAACGCCACTGGTATTCATATCAGCTGAAAAATACTATATACGATTTACTTACAGATACTTAGCATGTCACCAGTATATTTGTTATGTTTGTAGAGTGGTTTTCAAGTAATTGATGGAATATACTTTCCTCTTTCAACTTGAACGTCCTGTTTCTCGAAACCAAAGGGACGACAAATGTTAAATATAAACTTTTCATCATCAAACAGGGCCTTCTATCGATTATCAAAATTTTGCAACTAAAAAGTGGACTACCTCGTATGAAGATTTCCACACCACCATGAAGGGAATAGTCCTCTGTGGTGTCCATGAAGGATTTCCATAAAAAATAACACATCATATTATGAGAATACACAACTGCATAATTATATGCCTCATCATTTCCACCCCCTTGGATATACATCCGAAACTGGTTTTTCAATAACCTGATTTGATATCAAACTTGTGGAGATGACTAAGGGTTTTTCTTTCTGATGAATAATGATAATTCGAAAGTTTGCTCCTTCCACAGACACAAACCTGTCACTCCTACGGTAGAATAAAAAAATTTACCTCCCGTGGGAGGTGATATAAATATTTAGCTTGCTTCCTTGGTAGAGATATTATTTATTTATTTATTTATTTATTTATTGAAAATGTTTCTTCCAGTCAGAATCAAGTTCTGGTATAAGGAAGTATAGTTAAGAATAATACCTAAAACTATACAATTATGATAAACTAATAAATAATATAATATTTGAAAAGATTAAGTATTAAATTTTGACAAATCATTTCATATTGGTGAGCAAAAATCAATTTGATATGAATCAAAAGATGAGAAAAAAATCATCTATTTCGTTCAGAAATGAGAAATTTTTGAAATAAACCATGTTGTCTAGTTTGTTGATTATTAATTTCATTGTTTCGTGTTAAAATAAAATTAGATTTCAATCTTTTATTTATGATATTGCATGAAATTTTCAGTCTTTCAATTTTGAACATTTCTTCTAATGAGAATGATTCAGTTATTTTATATAATTGATTTGTTGGTGTATCATATGGTAAACGATACAGTACTTTCAATGTCTTTTTTATATAATGCAGATATTTTATCAAAATTGTTTTTTGAACAGTATTCCCAAATATTTCTCAAATAGTTAATACGACTGAGTATATGAGAATATAGAATTATATTTGCAACTTTTTTATTCAGCTTGGGACATCTTCTCAGGGCTCCGATAATAGGAGATATTTTTTTCGTCAAAACATTTATATGTTTGTCCCACTTTAATTTATCATCAAACCAAATCCCAAGATACTTTTTCTCATTAGTTTGTTTCAAAGATTCATTTTTAATTCTGAGATTTAAATGTATATTTTGTTCATTTTTTTGTTGAAGAATCATATATTCAGTTTTGTCAGTATTTATTGATAAGAGGTTTGAATGCAGCCACTTTTCAAATTTCATCAAGTCTCTGTTTATTATATTTTCTAAAATGATAGGATTTTTATTTTCGTATAAAAGTACCCTATCGTCTGCATAAATAGTGTAATTACATTCTGTATCAATTTTCGTGATATTTTGAATATATAATAAATATAAAATTGGTCCTAAAACAGATCCTTGAGGGACACCTTTAGTCATCGGTAGTCTATGAGACTCAGAGTTGGTAGATTTGGTACAGATTGTCCTATTTTGAAGATACGAATCTAAAAGGTTCCTTATCATGCCTCTGAGTCCCATTAATTCTAAATTTTCCAAAAGTGTTATGTATTGTGGTCTACTGTATCGAAAGCTTTCTTGAGATCAACATAAATTGCTATCACGTATAAGATCTGAACTACCCAAGTACCTAATCAGTGTCTCCATAACTACTATAATAATAATAAAGTTTATTCAAAATGTTGACATATTATAAATTAAAAGTATACATATTGGTATTGAATAAACAAAGAAAACCTTACGAAGTATAACTTGTTGTAAGGTATATAAAATAAAAAGTATGGTTATTGAATCAATTTATTAATTCGAGACGTAATTTATGAATAAAAATGTATTGTTTTGTCATTCAATCATTGGGTATAAGTACAATTCAGTACTGTTTCAAATTTCGTATAAATAGATATTGTATATTAACCAAAGAAGCAAATAAACTACTAGAAGAGACTAATATCCAGTTTTGAACTCTAATGATCTCACATACCCTACACTGTTTTACCACTAACCAAACCGATTTTTTAACGGCTCGACACGTGTTTCGCTAACTACACTAACACGTGTCGAGGCGTTAAAAAATCGGTTTGGTTAGTGGTAAAACAGTGTAGTGTATTATCGTGCCAAAGGGTCCAGTCTTCGATATATCTAATGATCTCATACACTTCCTCATATTCCAAACTAACTCAATCGAAGCTTCAAATAAAATGCAATTACACAATAAACAAATTCAATGTGACAGAAGTGTTAAACTGTCAAATTGATTTTCGTTCAGATTCGATACTGTGTCTGTAATCTAATATCATGTAACACATTGATTTGGAGACTCGGGAGATAGACCGCTTGAAGCACAATTTTAAGGACGACGCTCTCAAATATATGCGTTCGTGGATACAATCATATTTATATATCTTGGGAGGAAATGGATACCTTTGCTCCCTTGATATATAAATAGCTATTATTATTATTATCATTTGAATTACCTTTGGGGAAGTGTATTGGAGGCCTCTGAACGCCATCTTGACCTACTAGTATGACAGTTCCTCCTGTTTCACTATCTTGATGGCAATGCACATAAACTATTTCGTCTAGACGAACTTGAAGAGCATAATCCCAATATATACTGAAATTTCGAAAAATATTAGTATCATATAATAGGAAACACCGGGGAGATCAGTCAATCGGGCTACAAGCAAACTACTTTATTGCTATGCCAAGCTTTCGAAGATTTTTATTTTCTTCTTCAAGGCTGAAACAATATATGGTATATGAAACATTTTGTTACAATTCAATTCAACACAAACAAGAACTTTGCAATGTAAAATTTAACAAAAATACTTTTTTTAGAGACGGTTGAAATTAATAATAAAAAATATACTATGAATAAGAAAACAGATATTGATAATCTCAGTCAGATATATTCTTATTTATTATCTTCTGTTCATGATGATATTCAAAATAACTCTACCTTATAAGATATTCAACAACAATCTAATTTTATAATTTCATTTCTTCCGGTATATAAATTATATGACTTTTGTCACTGTCCTATCAATTTTATGTCTACATCGTCTATATTTTTTATACTCATTATTATTCCAATTTATACCTTTTAACTCACATTGCAAGTTAGATCTTGTTTTTGTTCAATTGAATTGTAACAAAATGTTTCATAAAGCATATATTGTTTCAGCCTTGAAGAAGAAAATGCAAAGTTTCGAAAGTTTGGCATAGCAATAAAGTAGTTTGCTTATAGCCCGATTGACTGAATATTTCCTATTATATCATGATATAATACAGTCGATAAACTATTCAATAAATATTAGTATCATTCATAAATTCGAAGAAGCCTCTGTTACAAGGTGGCCAACTAAGAAAGTGAGGAACTGTAACTGGGAAACTATCCATCGTAGAGGCTTGCTGCAAGAAAATCATTAGTAAAACAGCCAAGAGAAATACCTGGAAAATATTCTCAAGTCTGTGAAATGGCCGCTGCAATCTTGAAACTAAAAAACTGACGTTACTCTGAATTTTGCTATATTAACCGAACAAAAAAATATCTGGTCTTCAAAGTCGAGGGATAACCTGAGCTTTCCATATTTGACAATTTTTGCTATATCTCTAAAAATAAAGTGGTGGGGGGTATTCGAAGGTTTCGAAACGGCTGAGCCGATTTTAACAAACTTGGACTAGTTTAAACAAACTATTCTCGGATTACAAATGTTATAATATTCGAAGTTCTGTTAGTTTCATAAGTCGCCGCTAGAGGGCTTCTTTCGACAAAAATGTATGATTTATTTTTCATGAAAAAGTTGCTAAATAATGCCTTATACGGAAATCCCTTGAATTTAATTTTTTTTTCAAACTAATTAGATTTTCTATTATGTGAGTTGTGGTTATTCCAAATGGACGGATTTAAAGAATACAGGTTTTTAATGTCCCCGTATATGATCGAATCGCTGATCATTGCTGAAGCCTTTCATGGATAGACAAAACTGCAGCTTCAATTTCGACTCTCGTATTTTATCCAACTGCAAAACAGCGGTGGATTGGAAAAGTCTGTTTCCATGGCATACGCGACCACCAGACTTTACTTGTCTTTTTTTTATGGGGGCGGTTGAAGAACATCGTGTTTCAGACTCAACCTACGATCAGAGAAGATATGAAAAACCGGATTTGTAATGCTATATGTGACGTACCGAACGCTTGTATAGCCATGAGATTCTTGCTTGCATATAAAAAGTACTGTATCATCTACATCTACATACTTGGCATATTTACTAGCTAGACCAATTTCACTGATATTTTGAACATGAAGTAAATATAGTATAGGTACTAAAACAGAAGGACAGTTTCTCATTTTACTTGATTATTTCGGATATCCTCTCCTCGTTTCTACAAAATAAAAATATGAGTATTATTTCAATATATGTGTAGTAGAACAAATCAGATGATTTCCCCCAAAATGTCACTGGATTTAACAAATTTCTCTATCAGGAAGCCTAAAAGAAAAATCCAATAGCTCGTCAGTGACACTTTGTTTGGAAAAAAGTTCGAAGATAAGAAATATAGATATATTGAAAAAATATCGAATTTTTACTTTTGGACGGTTCGGGAACGAATCTGCTTCCGTTCTCAACATAAAGATGTGAAATCCCAAATAATCAATTGAAATGAATGTTACACCTCCTCGATTAACCTACAGACAGTATTTTGACAGTTTCTCAGTTTCTCGCATTCTGAGTTGGCCACCCGTACAGGGTGTCCCAAGTTCGAGCCTCATCATTGGGATATCTGAAAGTAGAAGAGATAGGGGCGCTGTGCCCGGTGTGTGCGAAGGTGTTGTCGGTTCAAATCCGACTTGGCTGAGCATTTTTTTTCAACAAAATTTAACAAATACGAGATCGGTTGAATGAAGGCATAATTGCCCAATTTGGTGCATATATAAATTGCCGCTTGAAAAATGGAGTGATTTCGAATACTTTCGGAGATTTTTAATTTTTTATGACTCTATTTGAATAGATGTAACAAAACAAATTCATATTTTCATTGCTAGTTTTTTTGCTTTTCGTTTCTTTGAATACAGCGACGGATTTATGATTTCAATAACTTTTTAATCTTCTAAAATCAACGGTGTATCGCACTCATTCGAGAAATAATTCACATGACTGGCATTTTCCATAAGAACTCGAGAGAGGCAGAGAATAAATTTTGATAGGATTAAAAACGAATATTCGAAAAATCTGTAAATGAAAGTATTCTTTGGTGCACTTTTTTCTCACATCATTAGGTCCATGGCAGGAGTATATCGTTCTACGAATCAGGTGAAAGGCATTTTTTTCTTTAAACGATTGGTAAAGTTTCAGTTTTTATCATGTTTGACATTTACTCGTTTTTGACCAATATTGATAAGCTGCTGATAATCGTTAATTGTCCCGATAGTGCGCCGGCAGAAGTTGATTTCTTCTCTAGAAGGCTATGACACGAAAATAATGGAATGATTCTTTAACAAATGTGTCAAAAATGCCGCTGTATCCCCAACTAAGTATAATCAGTCGGATTATTATCACTTCATGTATAGTCCAGTCCGACTAAGAAAATAGCGTTGGAGACCATAGGAAAGCGTTCACATTCGCTTTGATTGGTTAATATTAAAGGCAATATTACACTTGCCTAATATTATGACTTATGATGTGACGTTGAGGTAAATTTTTTTTGTTGAAAGATCACATTATCGCATTCTATTTAGCTGTGGTATTTTTCATGTTATAATAAATCCTGAGAACAAACCCGAACTCGATCATTAGAATGACCATGAGTTTGAATTAGACACCATATCTTTCACCGCCACCTACTATCTTCTTATTTGGAATGTTGTATAATATAATTTGTCTCAATTGATTTTCATTTGGTTAAAAATGGGTTGCGTTTAAGATAATTATGAACTTTTTGACATGCTTTTAGTTAATGGTGAATCTAGCCAAAGTGCGGTTGCATATCACGGCCATTACGTGATCAGGACCGTGAGATCGATTTCATCAGTGAGTTTCTCAACTTCGTCATTCTGCAACTTTTATTTAGACGATATTAGGTAAAATGATTGACATTGAAACATCGAACACGAATAAATACCTTTTATCATGCGATTCCTCTCCGAAACAATTCATCAACTCATTAGGAGTCCATTTTATTGCTAATGCATTTGCCGTCTGATGTAAGCTTAAATACCTGCAAATGCAAACAAAATAATGATATAATAATTATTATAATTTCGACTTTACAGAATTTTATAAAAACATTATGAGACCTTTATTTCATGATATTATCAGAAAATCAATCAATATACAAAGGAAAGAAGTAGCACATTTTAGATCGAGGTTGTGTTGTTTCCCGACGAGTAGAGGTGGAAGACAAAAAACCGTGAGCTGAAATCTTATATTTTTCCCGTGTATAATACACTATTTTTTCTGTGACAGGAAAAAGGTCGAATCAATATTGTGAAGATATTACATTATATTAAAATCAGAAAATTATCGACGTGAAATTTGGAGTTTTTAACAGGAATTACACCTGCGTTGCAGGAATCTTTTTGCAGGCACCTTAATCAACCTTTTGAAGTAATCAAATATCCGTCAGTCTAATTTTGTGATTCGATCTTGAAAAATTGCGAACTTAGTGGTTGTTTAGTAACTAACGTAACCGCGAAGTGGAATGGAAGAAAAAAAAGACACATTATTATTTGAAACCCTAACAGTTGCGTAACACCAAAGGCACATGATGCTAATGATGTAGTTAAATCAGGATCACATCATTGAAAGATTTTCCATGAAATGAATATTGGAATTTGAAGATTTATCAAACACTTGAAATGTCTTCTCGTCTTTGGGCAACCATAATTCTTAGATTTTTTGCAATTAGTTACCGAATGGGGCATATTCGAGAACATTTTCAGTGGTGCCAAGTGTGTCGACACTCTTTAAATGGTGTGTGATGAGATGTTCAAGGCACTCTGATACTTGGTAGCATTAATTTTGAGCAAATGTAGAAAACATTTTCAGATTTGCACCCGAAAATCTATACAGATAAAGTAAACATTTGCCGGAATATATGATTTCTAATGCGCTCTCACGAAAGATACTGCAGCCAGTCAACCAGGGATCCGATCCTAGAGACTATCGGAAGTGAATGTTGGTAATAGTCCGTGACTTCTCAAATTGAAGTGCTATAATCAAGTATAAAATAAAGGAAGATAAAATCAATCCCACAGTTTGATAATATTGAATTAGATACGGAGGAACATATATCGGATTTAAACCATTATCAGCCTATGCATTATAAGTACCCATATAGCACTAGACGTTCTGGGGACGTCCATTTTAGGTCCAATTTTGGTCTGAACGTATGGGACCTTTTCAAGACGAACTGCCGTTATCATCTAATTCTATGAAAGTATCAATGTGAAGGTTCAATCGACATTCGCACATAATCTCTTGTTGTATACTGATATATTGATAAGTGTTCTGTAGAGTAATAGGTAGAGCATCTGCCCGGTAATCTTGAAGCTGCGGAAGTTTGATGACATCGCCTAAGCGAGGTCCTTGAAATTCCCGACAGCCATACGGTTCCTAGCATGGCAAGAGTCTCTCTGTGGTCTGAGCGATTCTCTGGCTGTATGGGTGGGCTGCCCCAGACGGCCGATTCTGGACGTTGCTTGCCAAATGGTCAGATAGCGTATTGCCCGCAGCGGCAGAAATTTTGAAAGGGATTTGATTTTCATTTTCCCTTGATTATAATGAAAATTACCACACACGTCAATGTTTGCATTCAACCCTAACCCAACTAAGTTCACCTCGGATATTTCTCATCATAAGGAGCTAAGCTTCAGGAGATGAGACTAGTTTGACAGTACTTTGATCACAACACAACGCTCTGGCGAATACCAGCCAACTACACACTGCGTGGAGTACTATTTTATATAATGTGTTTGTCCCGTTAGAAACTGTTCAGGTTTGTGAAGAGAAATAGGAAATAAATTAATTTGACGTGCCCGGTAATCTAAAGGTCCTGCGATCGATCTCCGGTAAGAGCGCATTTTTTAATTTCTTTATTCAAAATAGGATCATTTTTACTCTTTCTGGGTCTCTTTTTTCAACTATCTGAGTAGAAAAGGCGAATTAACGTTGATTCAGGTATCCAGGTATCAAATGCGCGGAATCTGGACGTCCCCAGTACATACGAAACGTCTTGGCCGGACGTTCTCAGTACGTTTTGGGGACATACTGGTGCTATATGGGTAGTCCTTCAATGCAAAGCAACTCTAATGTACAACGAGAAGGTAGGGGAAAATGTTGAAAGAAACGAGATGTAGTAAGATTGAAGCCCACTTTATGGGAATGCAATTCAATCAATTCAGACTTCGACAGATGTCAAATGTCCATGAAGTGAAACCGTCAGACGTCGAAATTTACGCACAGAACATAGACCACCCAGACGAGATGCTGTAAAGATGCACGAAATGGTGGACAAGAAGAATTGCCCACAGAACTGTATAGAAAATTATCCAGGGTGTCCTTAAAAGGTCTGTACAAAATCTTAGCAGAGGTCAAAATATGCCGATTTGAGGCAACTTACCTCAGTCCGAAATTGCTCCGTTTCTGAGATACAGGGTGGTGAAGATAAAAAATAAAAATCGACAGGTACACTCCAAGAAAGTATTTTGGAAAATTAATTTTTGCACTGCTAATTCACTGATCAAATTACATCCACGAAGATAACAGCAAAAATGTTTTATTCGAATAATTTAAAAATTCCGGTGCTGCATGGACCTCTAAACATCGAAATATCTCTAAATTGGCTTTTTTGATCAAAAATGTTCAGAAAATATTTACCCCAACAAATAAATAAAGAAATTACACTGACAAAAAAATTATGACTATTCTAAACCCATAAGAAATCCATTGGTAAGCGCCTTCTAATGGCCAACGTGAAAAGGTGTTTCACATCCCAAAAAACTCCTCTGGTTATCAATTTTTGAACTGTTCTTCAACTTCACCACCCAGTATCTCGGAAACGGAACAATTTCAGACAGAGGTAAGTTGCTGCGAATCGGCTCGTTTTGACCTCAGGAATATGTGCCGGGATTTGGTACAGACCTTTCAGGAACACCCTGTATATTGTCGTCCACATATTAATAGCTCATGGATTATGAATCTCTTTGGAGTCCGAAATATGTTTTTTCGACTCTAATTCAACATCATTAACTTGGGTTTTCTTTCATCCTCATCTTTCGCAAATATTTTCTGCAGGAAGATCTTTTCATGATATCTCTCTTCTCCTAGAGAATTCGAGAAGTACTTCCTGTCATTGATAATTTCGAAAGATTGAACTAATAAAATAAGAGTAATTCATGTTGGCAATGATCATTTTGAGGAGCTGAACAACCTTCTTCCTGGCCTTCAAGCAAGTACTCCAGCTCATTCAAGATTTCGCGCAGATTCTGACTGAGATAAATTATATAAATTCGATATAACTACAAGCACAAAATGAAACAGATATACGCAATGGATAATCAAGTATTCTAGCAAACCAATATTTCGCTTCGTGCAGACTTCTTGCCACATCATCCTCAACTCATTATACATATTGGAAGCTCAGGAATCCTAAATGATCGACAATGGGGGATTTACTTGCCTACGTTATGCATATCGTGCTTTCACGTTTACCCCCTACATACGATATAACTCGTGCGATTTCGTTATTTGATGAGAGGAAGAAAGCGAGCCATGCCGCTTCCTTGACTCTTACGTAGCTGCCAGCCCCGACCACGACCGAATACATTGCCTAATCAACAGCCAGTTGAATTCAATGCACTCAAAACTCAAGCCGTTTTTCTCTAAGAAAGCCGAACTCAGTATGCCTGACCCCACCATTCTCACGAAGTCTACCATATCTATGCTCGGTATATTTCCATCAAGGGTAAATCATGTCAGATCTATCGCAAAAGCTGATTCACACAAATGTGGCTTTTAATTTCGAGCGAAAAGCTTCTCAACACCTCAACAGGTTCCCATGATCTATAAAGCTAGTCTTGCTTCGAAATACCGTTTCCACATATAAAGTTCAGCACCCGAACATACTCTGATGCTCTTAGATTCCATTAGAAGACAAGCCATTCACCTCGCCGGTGATGCCACACTCAATAATTTTTGACAAAATTGGAACACCGTAGGAAAATCGGCGCCCCTTCACATTCCTGTAGATACGTCCACGGCAAATGCTCTTCAGGAATCTCTGCTAGCATATTCCATCACGAGTAATACCAGTCAAACACACAAGGCCAGTCAGCACAACCTTTTGTCGTCAACCTCGAGATATTTTGTATCTATTTATACACAAATAGTTTCCCTAATAGCACAATTATGTCCGATGTATATCCTTAGGACGTCCTGTCGGGACATTCAGGACGTCCATATGACGTTCGAATTTAATAAAGCGGACGTCCATTGGACGCCTGTGGAACGCACAAATGTCCCACTTGAGGAGCAACTAGGGGCGTCCTCAAGGGATGTCCCTGGGATGACTATCAAATACTCAAATCCTACAGTATTTCTCATCAAGCACTAGGAAGGACATCCGTAGGACAACCTATCAGCAACGCGGAGGGATATTAATTGGATGTCCCAGGAACGTATGAATTATTCTTGAATTTAAATTTTTTCGAGTCTTGCTAGAACCGGATCTTGCATAACTGATGAGGACATCCAGTTGAGTTGATGGTCCGTAGAAGGTCCCCAATAGATCCTCCCCAAGGACTTACGCAAATGACATTGACGTAGAGTAGTTATAGCCTACCAGGAGTCATTCGTCGGCGATGTGTAAGTTGACGTCCTGGCAGGGACAATAACACATTGAACCTACCGACTGGGACGTCCGTAGGACGTTATTTCTGGGATATTGGACGAAAACATGATCATTCGCTTGCGTGAAAGACATATATAGGATGTCTATCTGAAGTCCTGATGCCAATGTATACCACCGATGGATGTCCCTTAGGACACATTCCGAATATATCGTATCCAGGATATAATGTGCAAATAACAAATGAATGTAGGATGGTCCAGTTGAATACTTGATTAACCATCACGTATATCTATTACACTTAGCGCTGGTCGACTGACTCATGTCGGTAATTTTATTACCAGTATGTATATGAATCCATTCTTACCCAGGTATTGGCTCAGACAAATTAGAATTCACTGGAAGAACGAGCACATTATTTTTTCCAAACAACAACGTCGCCCTGGAATTCTGGTGTAAACTCTCCACATTATCTTTGGCTAGGTATTGGGTAGACACCCTACACGTCAACGTATCCTCGGAGCTGGTATTGAGCGACCTTCGAAAATTCAGAATCGGTCTACGAACTGAAGGAGGTGTGGAATGACCAGTAGACATTCTGTGTCTTTGTACCTAAAATAATGGATGATATAAGTATATTGAAGATCGTTTATCAGGCAGTACATTATGAACTTTGATGAAATCAGAAATCCTGACAATCAGAGTCAAGTATTCCGATAGTATCCGTCAACTCTTGTAACTCAAAAAATAGGTGTGTTAAGATATGCCCACTGATTTGATACAGTTTTTTCAGAGCCAACAAGGGCAAAGTAGTTTTTTTTGTTAGTTTCAAGTTAGAATAAGTTCATTTGAAATGCAGTTTATGATTGTTATTATATTCTTCAAGAATTCACACCGGGTGGTACTTGTTTCAACATCATTGAAGGCGGAGATGAGACTAATATGAGTAGCATTATATTTTAATGTTGAAAGAATCAGAAAATCTTCAGAAAGTGACACAGAGCTTCTGTTGAGGTAGACAGATCTGGTAACAATATCAAAATATTCGGGTTTTAAATGTTCATTGTGATTCATTGTATCTGCTTCATTAGTATAACAATACCCAGCACATGGTTTCAATATTGATGAGTGGCACTCAACATATTATTTGCAACTGGAAAATAACATCTTCAACATATTGTCACAGCAATTTACAGTATTTGTCTCCCACCACATGATTCTTCTTGACCATTTTGCCATAGATGAAATTAACAATGATTTTTCCTCCTCCATGAATTTATCATTTAATGAATTGAACTGACTGAACTATACTTGCAGCTCGATGAATATAATTCACATTTCGAATGCAATCGCAGATATCAATAATCTAACTCAAAATACTACATAGTAAGTAGTAAATAGTAATTAACTAAGAATGAACTGATAAAATCTTCAACTAACCTAACTTTACTCCAGGAGTTATTAACTGAACGCACCCCTGGAAAACAAATTATCACCAGCTATACATGGTGTCCCAGAATAACGTTCGTATACTCCGGGAGGTGATTGTGCACATAAAGATAAGGAAAAATGTTCCTATCAACATGCACAGCCCTTTGAAGGCAAGCCCTTGAATGCAATTTTCTTTCATTATCTTTGTAAGCATTGATCCTAGAATCATGAAATTTGGTACCTGTGGGTGATTCGATCTTACAAATCGTTTCGTGGTTCAGTTTTTTTATTTCGACATGTATCTCATTTCTGCTAACAAACTATGATTCTTCAAACACTTTTAAATGAAAAAGGTATTCTTATTTGAATGTCGTAAAATGAACCGTTTTCGAGAAAATGGTCACTTCTCATTTTGATTCATTTAAAAAAAAATCAGCTAGTAAAAAAGTTTGTAAAATTCAGTCAGTTTCCATTGCGGATATTTTATCAACAAGTCACGATTAACTCTAATTAAACAAAACTAACTGAAAATGTGAAATTTCGATTGTCAAGTTCAATTTTTTTCTTCATCATAAGAGCACTTGATGCTCAAAATCATTGTGAATTTTTTCGGACATCAAATTAAAAATGACATTTTCCTCAAAAACGGTCCGTTTAACGCCATTCTTACAGGAATACCTTTTTCATGTGAAAACGTTCGAAAAATTATATCATGATAGTAGAAATGAGAGAAATCTTGGAACAAAAAAACTTGGGGTTATTTTTATAGCATCGGTTACAAGTTTCGCACCTCCCTGTATATTAAATTATGTTTTCCGAACCACGAAACGATTTGTAAGGTTGATTCACCATGAGGTACCAAATTTCGTGTTTCTAGGATCAATAATATCAAAGATAATTGAAGAAAACTGCATTTAAGGACCTACCCTCAGAGAGCTCTAGGAATCATTTTCGGACATTTTTTCATCTTTAAGTGCAGAATTATCTCCCGGAGTATACAAGCATTATTCTGGGACACCCTGTATTGGTTGCACCATCTAACATTTGGCAACAACAATAAGTAGAACTCTGTATAATAATCATGTTTCATCTAACGCTAATACAAAACTTATGACTTCGCCAAAAGTAAACTCAGACAGGCAAACTTTGAAACTCAATATCTTTCAAAATAATCGGTTTTGACAGAAATGTACTTTCGTTTTGTTCTTTAGTAGACCGAAAATAAAGCATGTTTGTACTATTTTCACTAGGTTTTTAATTCACGTTTATATTTGGTTCATCAAGAATCTTTCAACATTTGAATAGGAAATTTAACACTAGATCTTTTAAGACCCCCGAATGCCTGAAACCATTTGTCCCCGGAGTACTTATGGTGAGTCCTATAGCCCCCTTGTGCATGTAAATGATACTTGTAGCTCACTTATGAATATTACATGTGGGGTACCGCAAGGATCAGTTTGGGGACCAATTTTATTTTCAATTTATATAAATTCAATATCAACTCTAAAATTGAAAGGAAAGCTCAAATTGTTTGCAGATGATACAACATTGATTTATGTATCAAAAGAATTAAATGATATAGTACGGGATATTGAAAGTGATTTGGAAAACATATCATCTTGGATGCAAATTCATAAGTTGACTCTTTATTTCAACAAATCTTTATATATGTATATCTCCAAGAGATTATGTGATATTTCGAATAATGCAATATCTTTCAACAAAAGATTCATTGAATATACAGAGGTTTTTTTAGAACAAAATTTTTAGGTCTCTACATTGATGAAAAATTATCGTGGACTGAACACATAGACCAGTTGAGAAATAAAATGAATCCAATCATAGGCATTTTATTCAATATCCGAAATATCATTCCTGTAAAATAACTGAAGTGTATTTACTTTTGCCTCATATATCCAAATTTACAATATTTAATTTCTATTTGGGGAAGCACAAATATTTCACGCCTGAAACCACTAATGAAATTACAAAACAAATCAATTAAATGCATTTTTCATCTAAATTTTCTAGAACCAACAGTAAATTTATACAAACCTAGACAATTTCTAAATCTGATTTCGTTATATAAACTCAAAATATGTTGTTTTAATCATTTTGTCAGGAATAAATTCAAAATATCAAACTTAGCTTTCAATGAAGTCAATACAGTCCATACTTTTGGGACTAGACAATTGAATTACTTGATAGCAAATACATTCAAGTCGAACATTGGCAAACAATCTATATTTAATGATGGAATAATTTTATACAATTTATTATGGAATGAATTGAGAAATATACATGATACAAGGAGATTCAATTGATTTAAAGTCAATCTTAAACAATACTCGGTCAGGACAATTTGATTGAAAAATATTTGACATGATCTGATTACTCAGAATTGAAATGTTATAACTTTCATCTTAAGAAAAAGGATGAATTTGTTTCCACTGAGTAGAATTCATTATTTAACCTTTTAATATTTTTTTATATGTGTTCATGTATCCCTATTAAACACAGATTATGTTTCTTGGGGTAATAAAAACAATCAATCAATCAATCAATATGCCTCATTGAAATTGTAAGTACGGCATCTTACAGACATCATTTGAAAAAACCATAAGTAAGTAGCACTTTCACTTCACGCTTTTTTATGTACATCCAGATGAACAAATACCTAACAATGAGGCTTATTCATGTCTATTTGACGATTTTCACTGTCCCACCCGTATATGAGATATTTACCAATTCATCAGCTGGTGGATCTGTCCAGAAATGGTCGTGACTTTTCATACTGGAGTAATCCAAGGCGCAAGGTCCCACCAAAAGTGAGCTCAAAATGGTTCCATAATCAGAATCAGCAACCAGGGCATCTTTGTCGTAATACTTATGTGCATTTGACACTATGTAGTCGATTATCCTAGGAAGCTGCTTCATGAATAAGGCAAGTCTACAACGGAAACAAATTGTAAGTTATATATTGACACGACACCTCGGTTTAAAATTCATATTATCTCAACGTGGGATGTGGTCATAGAAGAAAGAAGAAAAAGCTCCAAGTTATCTACATAACTTTGAATTCCCTCCAAGTTTCATTGTGATGACGGCTTGGACTTTCTCTTCCATCAAATTCATGATTATTATTAGTACTTATTGAATTATCTGAACTGATTTTGTTTTCCATATGAAATGAACGTGCCATCCAAATTTTGGTTAAAACCTCTTCCAACAAAAGAAAATATATACATAAAAAATAGTATATCATCAATGAGTAGTATATTCCAAAAGGTCAAACCCGACGGCGACTTGTCTATAAAATCTCCTCAAATTGTACAAATTGACAATTATCTTTCGAGACTCTAACTTGATAAGATGTTACTCTAGTAAAAACAAATAATTCGTGAGACTGGCTTATGTAGATGAATCTTTAGTGCAGTACTGTGAATCAGACCAGAACATATCTGTTCGCCATGAATGTAGAAATAATATCTCATTAGTGAAGTGTGGGACAGGAATTATGCAGATTTTTTTTTTTTTTTTTTTTTTTTTATCGCTTGGAGCGCACGAAAGGGAATCCCTATAATGTTCAAAGAACATCGTGCGTTCCTAGGGAGGATAGGGACAGGAGGTAGGTATTGGAATTTTTTTTGAACTTTTGGAGATTATATGTTGTTGGGAATACTTCCACAGGCAATGAATTCCAGAGCCTAGCCGTTCTATGGATGAAGGAGTCTTGATAAAGTGCTGTTCGACATCTTTCGAGGTTGACAACGAAAGGATGTGCTGACTGGGCTTGTCTAGTTCGTCTGATTGGAATTGCTAGTGAAGGGATGATAGCAGAGATTTCCGAAGAACATTTCCCGTGGAAGTATCGATAGAAAAGTGAAAGGTCGCCGACCTTTCTACGGTGTTCCAATGATGTCAAAGAGTGAGTGAGTGTGGCGTCACCCACCAGGCGAATGGCTCTCCTCTGGATGGAATCTAAGAGCATCAGCGTATGTTTTGGTGCTGAACCCCATATGTGGGAACAGTATTCTAGAACAGGCCGTATCTGCGCCTTGTAGATCATGAGAAGCTGTTGAGGTGTAAAGTAGCTTTTCGCACGGAACAAGAATCCGAGTTTTTGTGAAGCAGCTTTTGCGATGGATCTGACATGATTATCCCATGAAAGAGTGTTGCTGATGGAAATACCAAGCATAGATATGGTGGGCTTGGTGGGGATGGTGGAGCCAGACATTACAATATCGGGCATACTGAGTTCCGCCTTTCTAGAGAAAATGCAGGCTTGAGTTTTGGTGGCGTTGAATTCAACTAGGTTGTTTTTTCCCCAGGCTGTGATTTCTGCAAGATCTTCATTGACAGCATTGACCTGCCTGCACCGTGAGTTCTTAGTTTCCTGGGAAGAAATGGGAATTCTGGAAGAGAACGCAGTATGGAGGGTACTATCATCTGCAAAGCTGTGGATGGGGCAAGTTGTTACTCCCAACAGATCATTGATATGAAGCAGGAATAATGTTGGTGCCAAAATTGATCCTTGTGGAACGCCGGAATTGATGCCGATGGTATCAGACGATACACCGTCCACCACCACGTGAAGCAATCTGCCTGAAAGAAAACTCGATAAGAGATGGCATAGCTGAGGTGGTAAGCCGTATGATGGTAGTTTGTGGAGGAGTCCTTCGTGCCAAACACGGTCGAATGCTTTCGATATGTCCAACGCGACAGCTAGAGATTCCCCGTGTTTTTCTATTGAAGATTGCCATAAATGGGTGACGTAAGCAAGTAGATCTCCAGTAGATCTTCGGTGGCGAAAGCCGTATTGTCTATCATTGATAATTCCTGAGCTCTCCAGATATTTGATAAGCTCAATATTGATGGCTTTCTCCATCACTTTGGAGATTACTGATAACAGGGCAATGGGCCTGTAGTTGTTGGGCAGGTTCTTGTTCCCTTTTTTGGGGATTGGTTGGACTCTAGCTGTCTTCCAGCATGATGGAAAAATACCCGACCTGTACGAGATGGTAAACAACTTGCAGAGAATCGGTGTTAATTCTGGTGCACATTTTTTGAGGATAATGGGTGGAATTCCATCAGGACCGTTAGCCTTATTCGTTTTGAGACCAAGCAAAATTCGTCTGATAGTGCGTTGACGGAAGACGATTTCGGGCATTCGACTCTCAACGGGTGGAATGTCTGGCGGCAGTTTTCCTTGGGAATCTAAAGTAGAGTTTGCTGCGAACATCTCTGCAAAAATATTTGCTTTCTCCTGCGATGTTGTTGCTAATGTGCCGTCGGATTTGGACAGTGGTGGAAATGAACTATTAGTGAAGTTTCTTCCGACCGCTTTAGCAAGGGACCAAAACGAACGGGAGCCATTGGGGCAATCTATGAGTTTCGATCTTATCTTGGCATTGTATGTTTCTTTCGAGGCATCTATTGTTTGGCTGCAGTTATTCCTGGCATCAACGTATTCTGCTCTAGTCGCGAGGCTAGGGTTTTTGCGCCAGCGATGGTAGGCTGTTTGTTTCAAGGCAACAGTTCTAGAACAGTTTTTGTTGAACCAGGGTTTCGACGGTGATGATCTTTTCGAAAAATGAGGTATGTATGTGTCCATTCCGAGCATGATGATTTCGGATATTTCCGCAGCACACTGTGAAGGGTCCTCAGTGCCAAAGCATACTCTATGCCAAGGAAACTCGGAGAAAAACATGCGGAGACCGTCCCAATCTCCTGAATTGTAATGCCATATAAGACGTGGGGGTGCCGGAGCAGTTGATGGAATGAAAAATGGGCAGGTTGTGGAGATGAGTGTGTGGTCAGAATTGCCAAGTGGAGCTCGTACATCTATGGTGTAGGGTGCTGAATTATTAGTGAGGAATAAGTCAAGTATGTTAGCTGAATGGTTATTGGCATCGGGAATTCGTGTGGGTTCTTTGATAAGCTGCTCCAAGCCGTGAGTGATGGCGAAAGCTTCGGCTTGTCGCCCAGCTTCATCCGTTCTGTTAGAGTGTACGAGCCAAGCAGTGTTGTGTACATTGAAATCGCCCATGATGATGATTTCTGCTGCTGGATGGTTCTGTTGAATTTGGTCAAGCTTCAGAGACAAGAATTCGAAGAGCTCTTCATAGGATGGATCATTTGGTGATAAGTAGAGATAACAAAGGTATTTGGTCTGTTTCTGGTTATCGAGTTTGAACCACATGACATCAAACTTATTTGGTTCCAAAGTTTTTTCTCGTTGACATGAGAGATTCGTTTTAGAGTAGAGGCAGAGACCTCCCTTGAATCTGAAACGTGTGTGGAGTTCGTACCCAGGACAGAGCAGATAGGTCGTATTGGTGGATGAATTGACCTGGGTCTCAGTAAGAGCCAATATGTCTGGCTTTTCAATTTGAAGGTGTCGATGGACATCGTTGATGTTCTTACTTAGACCTCGGATGTTACATAGGTCTATCTTGAGGACTTTTTCAGCCGATGGTGAACCCCCTCTAGCACCTCTCGCCCGGAAATCCTTTAAACCTTGAACAAGTTAGTATTTCTTTGTGGTTATATTCAACAGACGATAGAACCCAGTGTTTTGGGGTATTAACAAGATTTAAACAGACTCAAACAAGCACTCGGTCGGAATGTAAAATATTAAAGATGATCCATTGCAGAAAAATCGAAACTGTATTATTGTTTGTTCGAAATAATTCATTATTTTTTGATATATTGAATAATAAATATTGGAATTTTAGATGTTCTGATATTCTTACAATACCATTGTTGATGTATTTTAATTTTTGATGACTCTGTTTCTACAAATATTTGGGATAGACAATTTTCCTAAGAACACCTTGTATAATACACGTGAAAAGTTGAAGGAGTATGTAGTGAGAGTACCATTACAATGTGTTTTCCTTAAATAAAATATTGGATAGGTACATACGTGTAGATAGATATAATGCGATCTAAATTCTGTCTGTAGGTTAATTGATTGGATTTTTCTTTTGGGCGCTCTAATAGAAAAATGTTCAAACTCAGTGACATTTTGGGGCAAATCATTCGATTTGTCCTACTACACGTATATTGAAATAATACTAATATTTTTATTTATAGAAACGTGAAGAGAAAATCCCAAATAATCTAGAAAAATAGATGTTATCTAATTTATTAATTTGTCATTGATATATCGCATGCATTGATTATTAGATAATATTTTATTTGTGAGACTGGATTTGAGAGTTAACTTCACGAAGGGAAATAAAAATAATAACGAACGATCCAATTATTATGTTTGTAGATTCTACCGGCATACTACTATCTCAACAACCAATATGTCATATTCGAACAATCTAAAAATCTCATTTCGAATTGCTCGTCTGAAAACGCTTCCACTCAAGGATCTAAGCTGGCATTCATTACATTGACATGGCACTAGGTAGGTATATAAGAAGTCCTAAATGCTCATGCTAGATGAGATCCAGTCACATAATTCATAATTTTTATATTTTATATGATTGTGTGTATTTATGTTTGAAGGGCGTAAATTAGGCTATTAAGACGCCAAGGTCCATGAAGGAAAGTTACGCCCCAAATTCATACAACATTTTATGCACGACCGGTATATTCAATTTTTCATTGTGAATACCTCTTCACCTCTCAAGAAACGGTAGAAATACATCATGACTGCAGTGAGGAATATCATTGATGGATTCAACATTACTTGGTAGCTCAGTCAATTTTTCGAAATGGGAGTAGACAATTATAACGATGTACTATTATATTTGCTGTCAATCAATCACTGATATGAATGATTATTTTTGGAAGTCATATTATTCATCCGATTTGAAGAAGAATGTCAATTCTCAATTTCGGAGGATTTTATTCTTTATTTTTCATGTTCTCCTTTTGAATGTTCAGAATCAGATATAATTCAATGTTCGACGAGGCAAATAGCCAGGAAAGTAG